TCACGGGTTTTTGGTATGTAAATGAGCCACTTCCGGTTTGCGGCTTGGCCGCAGCGGCCCGGCCGAGCCGCAATGAAAATGCGGCTCGGCCGCGAAGCCGCGTTTCCGGAAGTAACTAATTACGGCGGCTCGTAGGGGGCCGCGTTTTTTATGGAAATTAGGCCGCCGGCCGGGCCGCGCGGCTCGGCCGATCGGAATTGCCATGTCTGCTTTAAACCAATTTTTCCTACCCTTTTCTGCGTTTTGCGTTTTATTTTCCTTAAACTTTTTTACAATTTTTTTGAAGACTACAGTAATGCCAGACGCTAAAGAAATCACTCTTTATGGTGTTATCTCGTTTTTGCTGGCTCTCATGCTCCAATAAATCAACTGGGTGTTCGGTTGAGCGGCACCGTTCCCCCGGGTAAGATCATGCGATTTGCTTCCCCCCTGCAGATAGAAATACCAGTTATCGGTCTGTCTGTCTCTCTCGCTCTCTCTCTCTCTCTCTCTCTCTCTCTCCCTCACTGTTCCACATTTCTATTCTCATTTCATTGCCATTTCTCGGGATTGCAGTCCTCGTTTCTTCCCATTTTTTCGGGTAGGCTTTTCGCGTCTGCGGTAGTATTTCCTTTTCCGATTCGCCGAAAATCCTGGGAAATTGGGGGAATGGCATTTTGGGGGTGTCTGGATCAAAAATCTGGTCTGAGCTTTGGACGGGCTTAGGATTGGCGTAAACTCGGCTTGGCTTAGTTAGGCTTAGGCTTGGGCTTTTTTTGCTTTTTCTCCTACGCTTTGTCGAAATTGAATATTTTCTCATATTCCACAATTTTTTGAAGGTTCTCTGATTTTCGTATATTTTTCTTCTATTCGTGTTTTCTCATTATTGTTGTATCTATGCCGTTTTTTCAGGCGCCTTTTCTTTTATTTGATGGGTCCAATTGGACTATGGCTCCTCGTGGCCCTCCTCACATTTTCTTCCGCTTCCCGTGAAGATCGCTTCGCCAACCCACCTAAAAATTATGAGTAAGTTTTATGGAAAGAGACAGGAAAGGCGAAAACAAAAACTTTCCAATTTCAGAAAACACCTCGTGTTTCGAATTTTCCCAAACACCACCGATCAATTGGCGGCGCTGAATTTGCTCTACATGAAATCACACGAGTATGAGGTTTGTGTGCTTTTCGTTTTGAATTTTAAATTTAACCACTTTAGACTCTAAAACATTAAAATACTATTTACATTACACATTAAATAATAACGCGTATTAAGCGTGTTTTCAGCTCGATTTCTGGAAGGCGGCCACGGGTTTTGACCAATTTGCCGATATCATGGTCCGCGAGAGTCGGGCACTCGATTTGGCCAGACGACTGAACGAGACAAAGGCACAATGGAAGATTACGATACCCGATGTGCAAAAGTAAGCTTGTTTAATCGATACCTTTGTCGTAAGAATGACAATGGCGCTATAATACATCTTTATAGTGTTTATTTAGGTTGATTATCGATCGAGAATCGCCAAAACATTCGACATGGATGGGCAGGTTAGGGCCATTTGCATCAGCGATGAGACGATTGAAGGATGATGGAGGAGTCAGGGCCAGGGTTCGTTTTTCGCCCGTTCAGATTTTTCCGCGACACACAACGCGCACGCTTTGCCTCGCTAAAAAAAGCAAATATGGCTTAGGCAGAGGGAGGACTTGTCGCGTCGCGTGTCGCGGTTTCCGCAAAATCTATGCGAATTGTTTGCGATATTTTCGGTCCGCGGCACGACACGCAACGCCCATCGCAAGGCGCGAGCTTTGACGCCCCAAAGAAGGCCGTAACTAGCTACGCAATGGATTCCGGGCGCGTTGCGTGTCGCGGGTGCTGGAAAATCGATAGAAATTTTTCTTCTTTAACTTCTGTATCCTGATTATGAAATTTTAAAGCCGCCGACCCGGGAAAAGTGCGATTTTAAACATCTAAATTATCGAAAATGACATTTTAAACGTTTAAAAACGTGAAGTCTAACAATACCGAAAATCATAGCATGGTGTAATCGATCAAAAAAATCAAATAGCTTTATTCAAAACGCAATTAATTGGCCGCGGGGGGAATTAAGTGGTTCGGTGCTTCGACGGGACGCGTTTCAGCTTCCTGAAAAATGAGATAAAAATGTATAATAGCTTTAATAGTGTTTTTAGTAAAATCTATCAAAATTTACGTCGAAAAACCTTCAAAAAAACTCGTAAAAATTTCGACATTTTGACATTTTGGTCGAAAAGCTGCTATTTTAGGTCGAAAAATTGTGATTTTTTGCCGTTTTTAAAAGAAAAATTATGACTTTTCGAAATAGTAAAAAAGAGTTTAGAATTTAGAAAAAATAGGTTTTTCCCCACCGATAATGCCAAAGAACCGTTTAATAAACGTACGCAAATGGGTCATCCTCCTCCTCGGGATCCGCCGCATCATCCTCATTGGCAATCTTCAGGGCTTCTTCTCTGTCTTTGTCCTGCTCTTTCTCTCTCTCTTCCCTCTCCTTCTTTCTCTCCTTTTCTTCGGCTTCTTCGGCAGCTTTGACCTTCTTCATCTCGGCGTCCTTCTTCTTCTTTTCGATTTGGGCCTTTTTCTTCTTTTCTTCAATCTTTCCCACCCAATCCAACGGGTCCGACAGGTTCACCTTCAACTCCTCCGCCACTTTGTCGATTCCGGCCTGAAAAGGCAGAATTCGGTTTTCGGAACTTGTGCAATATTAGGGAGGGAGGAAACCGATTTTTTCGGTCCAGATCGTACTGTCATATTCATGTTTAGAAATCCAAATTTTTTTTGTTTTTTTTTTTTATGGGGGGTTTTTTTTTTTTTTTAAAAAAAAAAAATTAAAAAACGTGGGTTATAAAATAAAATTTTCCCAAAAAATAAATTTTTTTTTAAAAAAAATAAAAAAAAAATTTTTTTTTTTTATTTTAATTTTTTTTTGGATATTTTTGGTATGAAAAATCGATATTTTTGTATTTATGTAAAAAAAGGGAAAAAAGAAATTATTGTTTCTTCGCATCTTAATCGTAAAAATAAGTTTAAAAACACCATTTTAATCAGAAAAAAACTGTTTTTAAGTGAAAAGTTGCTAGCCCCTGATAAAGGCTCTTCCCCCCCCCGGATAATGCAAAAGTGCAAGCTCACCATAATCAGCTTATAATCGGGCGTTTCGCCCCATTTCAGCTGGTTCAACGAGGCGTACAGTCCGGAGAGCACCTCCGGAAACCCGTTCTTCCAGTCTAAAAAACCATTTTAAAGGCCCATTGAAGGCAGGCCCCCACTCTTTTCCTTCCAGAATTTCTTCTTTGCCGTGAGCGTGGCGCCCCTTCTGTCTTTCATATTCATCACCAGGGGCATCATTTTCGAGTCCCACAGATCCATCATCATGTACAGCCACGACTTCAACAAGTTCACGGGTTTTAAAGGGACTGACTCACCTCGATATCATCTTTCCACGAGGCATCTTTGCCCGACAGAATATCCACCGAACAATAGTGACAAGTGCCCACAAATGGGGCTTGGGGTCGTGGTTTTCTGCAAAAATGGTACTAGGCTGTTAACGGGGGGAGGGGGGCTAATTTTTATATTTACGCTTTTTGTTGTTATTTAGTGTGTTTTGATTATTGCGTATCTTGCAAGTTTTAATTGTTAGGAAATTTTTGAAAAATTTAGATTTTTAGTCATTTTTCACGCATTTCTACAATTTTAAGGGTCTTGTGCGTTAGCGGGGGGGGACGAATATGGGAGGTCACGAACTCACAACCCCCCCGCTAATGAACTAGAACCGATTTCGATCAAAAACTCCAAATTTTTTGGGCCGCCGCCCGCTAAGAGAACAGTCCCGAAATTTGCACCTCATCTGTCCACTGGCCGTCCTCAACGCCCTTCCAATGCCAAAATCGAGCAAGTAGATGATCTTGTCCTTGTCGCCCAGCCCGACGGCACAATTCCCCGGCTTCAGGTCTCGATGGACAAAGCCCACTTCATGCAGATCCCAGATCCCTTGCATCGTTTGTTTGCCAGCTTGCAGGATGGTCGACTTGCTGAAAAAGTCGCGCTGAAATCGGACGCGTCAGCAAACAGTTCAATACAGGGCTACCGTTCACGACATCACATTAATGATAATGCTGCTGACCTGAACGTCTTGTCCTCGGCGACGATGTATCGAATATCCGACAGCGATAGGGAGCACATCTCCATCATCAGAAACTTGACGTCAAGCACGCTGCTGCGGCCCTTGTCGATGTAGTTCAGGAAGTGCTGACGTTTCGATGGATCGAGCTAAACGAGCATGAATGATCCTTCATGACGTCGTGCTCACCTTCGAGATCCTGCCCAACACCTCAGCCTCAACATGAAGCCGTGTGAGTGGCATGACAAGATCATAGAATTCGGTCTTCATTGCGAGAACGGCTTTTGTGTTCTGTTCTTCCATTTTATAGACACTTCCGAATCCTCCTTGTCCCAATCGACCGATCACTCGATATTTCCCTTTCTCTGTCACAATCACCGTACCCGTCCGGAGCCACGTGCGGGGGACTGTGTTTGCTGAAAATGGGGGATTTTTGAGCGCATATGATTTCTGTTAGCTTGCCTTGTTAAAGAAACATTCAACTACCAGCTCTTGGTGAAAAAGCAAACAGGCTTGTGACGGCCGGGGGTCGAACCCGGGCCTTGTGCGCGGTAAGCAAACACAAAACCAATGAACCAACAGGCGAATCGGATCGGAACAGGGCAGACCCTCTTCTTCCCCACGGTGGGCCATCTCCATACGTTAGGAAACAGTCCCTGCTATACGGCGTCCAAAAAAGGCTGGCGCGTTGGATGTCGCGGCCTAGCTAAGCGATCTAGCTTCCTCAACGTTCTCTGCTAGCCTTGCCCCCTGTGTAAAGGACCTGACAAGGCATGGCTATGCTATAGAATTTTGCGTTTCAAATACGTATTCGATTACGCCTCTATTGTCGTCCATATCGTGCGCGTTGCGTGCCACGGCGCGTCGGAAAGCATGGTCTTTGCGTTGCCAATCCCTTTAAAAAATGTAAATTTCCCACCATCCCTCCTGGGCCTGGCCTTCTTCCCGGGTGTCCCCTTCGGTCCTCCCGGCGATTCTTTCGACTTCCTCTCCGGCGTCTTCGACAAGGTCGACTTGGTCAGCGTCGCGTTCGACTTGGCCTTTTTGGCCGGCGGCTCGGGCATTTGTCCTGAAGCGACAATAAAAATCAGCTTCCCCGCTCTTTTCTCAAAAAGCAAAACTTTGAGCCGCGCCTGGGGCTCGAACCCGGGTAGCCAGCCTGGGAGCCTAATGCTCTACCAGGGCCGGTCAATGCTCAAATAAACCCACTTTCGTTTGATTTTGTTTAGTAAAAAAATTGCGACGTCCCTCCCAGGGAGGGAATAAGATAGAAAAAGGAAGAGAAGAGGGCGGGGGATAAATAATTGAGTAGAAAATTGTGAATGAGTGTTAAAAGCGAAAAGCGTTTTTTAGACGGCAATATATGTAAATATCGAATTTTTGATCAGCTAATTAGCATTATATGCAATTAGCCATAATTATGCTAATTTTTCGTTTCAGTACGGTTTCGGCGACTACCATTCGTACGAGACGATTCTGAAGTATTTGGATGACGTCGCAAATGCGTATCCAGCCATTGCCAGGACATTTATTGCTGGGACATCAGCCGAAGGGCGGCCAATTAAGGGAATTAAGGTATGAAATTTATCGCACTCTCCCCCCCCCCCCCCCCCCCCCGCCGCCCCCCTTCTCTCCTCTCTCTCTCTCTCTCTCTCTCTCTCCCTATCCCTACCTTCAGATCGGCAACCCAATCAACAGCGCTACCAAACGATCGGTGTGGATAGATGGTGGAATTCATGCCCGAGAATGGGCCGCCGTTCATACCGTACTATGGTTTGTGAACCAGGTTAGTTTTTGGCTTGTCAGTCCCTTTAAAAGTGTGCATATCACCCCGGAAAAGCGAGGAGAGTTTTGCCTGTCATGCTCCCTTCAATCAAGGCACATCGGGAAATTATAGCCTCTCTCCCTCTCTCCCACTCTCCCTCTCTCTCTATCTATTATCTCCAATAAACTCCTGGCGGTCTCCATTTTAAAGGGATGCTAAAATAGACAAATCGCATTGAAATGCTCTTCTCGCTCCCTTTAAAGGGCTAGTATCAGCAATGAGGGAAGATTTTTTTGTTCTGATGCATTAGCGGGGATATCGGGTACTCCCAAACAGCGCCCAATTGGGACAGGGAAAGTGGGGTGGCCTTCCCCCCCGCTAACGAACCAGAACCTAGTTTTTCTTCCTATCGCGTTCCCTTACAAAACCAAGTATGAAAATGTTATACCAATTTTTTGTTTCAAGGTTCTATGAAGGCAGAACCCATAGAAATGCCTTGCCTATCCCTTTAAAGGGACGCTGAGTTAGACTATTCGCTTTCCACCTGTCGCACCCCCTTTAAAATCTGCTTTTACAGCTGATCTCAACATACGAAACCGACTCTGAAACGCGTCAATTCGTGGACGGTCTCCAGTTCTACCTTCTGCCAGTCGTGAATCCAGATGGATATGAATTCTCTCGAGATGATATAACTCCGATGGTGTGAGGTCTTTCGATTGACAAAGTCGACTTTCCTCTATTTCAGCATCGACTATGGAGAAAGAATAGAGGAGGCATTAGATGCAAATTGGATCGATGGTTTCGGGAGAGATGCTGTGGGGGCGTCGATTTGAACAGGAATTTCGACTTTCATTGGGCTGGTAAGAGATTTAATGCCTCTAAATGGACCGTGACAGTTGAGCCAGCAGCTTTGCTTAACGAAATCGCTCCTAAAAAACGTAGCTAAATGGTAAAGCTCTTGCCTATCAGGCAGAAGGTCAGGGTTCGACACCCGCCCGGTGCGAAACTTTTTGCTTTTTGGCCAATTTTTTTCAATGGGCTGCATATCCCTTTAAAGGAAAATCCAGGACTGTAGGATTCTCCAATGGTCTCTGCTAGTCCATTAAAGGGAGAGTGACAGGGCGTAAAATTCCTTAAATATTTTCAGAATCTGGCTCGTCGACGGATCGTTGTTCCGAGGTGTACCAGGGTGATACCGCATTTAGTGAGCCGGAATCCAGGTCGGTTTTGGTGGTTTTAAAGGCCCATTGAAGGCAGAAACGTTCTGTACATTCAAACCATCCTCATTTTAAAGGACCATTCAAGCCAGAAAAATCCATTTCCAGAGCCGTTCGCGATATGCTACTATCTCCAGAATTAAAGGGCCGCACCGATGCCTTCATTACGCTACACACCTATGCACAGGTCATTTAAAAAAATGGTTTTTGACAAAACTGAAATTTTTAGATGTGGATCCACCCGTACAGTAACCAAGTACGAACCTATCCGGAAGACGTTCAGGATTTGGTAGGAATTTTAGTGAATTTTGAACTATAGAATTCCAGCGAGAAGTTGGGCTAAATGGGGTGGCGGCGTTGGAAAGGGATTACGGTACCGCGTACAGATTCGGAACTGGAGCCGACATTTTATGTGGGTTTTGGGAGGATTTGGCTTTCATGTTCCGTTAAGGAGAATGAGAGACAGAGAGAGAGAGAGAGAGAGAAAGAGAGTGAGAGAGAGAGAGAGCTAGAGCGAACTCAGCATTTTCAGACCCCTCCTCCGGCGGTTCGGACGATTGGGCGAAAGGGGTGGCCGGGGTGAAATATGTGTATCTACTGGAGTTGCGACCAGCTGATGAGGGTACGGTAGTTGGGTCAGATTTTAGGCTTTCGTCAAATTTCAGTGTGGGATGGGTTCCTGTTGGACCCACGACAATTGATACCTACAGGGAAGGAGACGTGGGATGGGATAAAGGTGAGGAGAGGGAGAGAGAGAGAGAGAGAGAGGCAGGGAGAGAGCGCGAGAGAGAGAAATAATTCCAGAGCCCGGCCTTATCTATTCCGGGAATATTCCGGGAACGCCTCTTATCATTCCCGGAATCTCCCTGAATCTCCCCCAGTTAATTCCGGGAATGATTCCGGGAATCGATTCCCGGAATGCGTTTTCATCTATTCCGGGAATCCCGGAATAGATTCCCGGAATGCTATTCCGGTAACCCATTCCGGGAATCAATTCCCGGAATGATTTTCATCTATTCCGGGAATTTTTAGGCAAATTCCCGGAATGTCATTCCGGGAATAATTTTGTTAAGGCTGGGCCTACCCGACCAAAAGGTCGGGTAACCATTCCGGGAATCTAGGTGAAACACTACCAAAATTGCTGAAATTTTTACAGAAGCTGAAAGGCGGCTTAATCAGCTATTATTTAAAATTTCAGACTAATCGGGTAGTTCCTAGCGAAGTTATAGAGCGTCTTAAAAATCAAAAAATTCAAATCTCTATTGCTCGACAAAATGCGATTGGTTAGCTCTTTATACAAATACTAGAATTTTTTTCCTTTTAATAACAACCTTTTTTACTTCGAACAATTTTCAAGTCTTTGAATTCCGGGAATGTGCTGATATTCCCGGAATAGATGAAAACAATACCGGGAATGCATTCCGGGAATCGGGAAAGATATTCCCGGAATCACTTTCATCTAATTCCGGGAATCTATTCCGGTAACTGTTCCCGGAATACATTCCCGGAATTAGATGAAAACGATTCCGGGAATTTTTTTACCGATTCCCGGAATGCTTACCGCAATGATTCCCGGAATAGGTTACCGGAATGATTCCCGCAATAGATAAGGCCGGGCTCAGGTAGTCGTCCAAGCCGTCCTCGACAAAGCCCGAAAAATGGGTGCTGCTCCGGCCCCGACGACCACAACGAGTACAACAACAACGACCACAACTACCACCACCATGACGATACCAACAAGACCTCCTACGGCAGCCTGGAGACGACCAATGACGACAATCAACACGACGGCAAGGAGGAAGTGGGTTGAAGCAAATTTTGCGATTTACACTTGACTTGGATTTTCAAAAAAATCATACTTCGGGACACAACATTCGGATCTATACAATTTTTAGCGCGTTTGAAAGCTAAGAAAAAGGCAGTTTTTCACGCATTTTGATATTTGGAATAGTTTATAAACCGTCAACTTTATATTGATTTTGCAGCAAAAAAGACACATTTTTAAAAATTTTACTAAAACTCAGAGTTTGAGTAAAGAACATTATTGAACTGGATAAAGCTCGTCTGGGTCTGGCCTTGCGAACGCTATAAAAATCATTTAAATCCGAGTTTTCTAGGCCGAGAGAAATGCGTTTTATGACAAGAATCACCTTTCATTAATGCGCCGTTCATTAACCATCGTTAAGTTAATTCGCTGAGGTTACTAGACAAAAAAAATACATGCTTTAATTAATTGATTAAAATTTTCGTCAAGTTAATTTAATGATAAGGGAATAACAAAAAATATTATTTCTCAGGCTTTCACTAACCAAATCGTTATATTTTTAGTTTCATCACCGTTGCCACGCAAAGATTTATACCAACCACAAGTTCAACAAGTACAACAAGTACAACAACTACCACTACAGTACCCCAAACAACATCAACAACGACAGTAGCTACAGTATCTCTCCCATTCCGTCAATCCGCCAGGATACAATTCCCCAAAAGAGTTGTAGTCACCAGCGTCGACAAACTGCGCCAACAACAATTATGGTTGCGTAAGCAGTTAAAACTCGGATCTGAGGGTAGACAGCTATCTTCTGCCCCTTCTACCGTAGTCATAGACGAAGAGGCTGAACATGCACGAATCCAGCTCGAATCGAAACGCCAACAACGGATATTAGAAGCTCAAGAAGCCGCCCGAAGAGCTGCAGAAATTCGAGCAGCTCGAGAGAAACAACATCGAATAGAAGCCGAAGAAAGAATAAGACTAGCCATTATAGCACAGCAGAGATTGGAGGAAGTGAGAGACGAAGAGATGGAGAGAGAACGAGAGAGGGAAGAGATAGAGAGACAACGAGAGAGCGAGAGAAGAGAGAGGGTCAAGATGGAGAGACAAAGACAACTACTGGAATTGCAACAACAGCTGAGAGTGCAGCTTGGGCAACAGGATGAGCAGAGGATGAGGGTGGTTGAGGGAGAGCACAGGCAGCCTGTCAATCCGTTACGGTAGGAGACGGGGGTGTTTTAGGTTTTGTGAGGGAGGGAGACTAATATTTTTTTCGTTCTATTTTTTAAAGGGACTGGGAAGGCAAGGCTATGGGATTTTTCTATGGATTTTACATATGGGGGATTTCTTCCACGCCCGCGACACGCAACGCGTACGCTAAAATTTCCATTGCGTAATCGATTACGACATGCATATCTTAGCAAGCACTGCGTTGCGTATCGCTAATTGCAATTTCTAAATCCATTTTACGAGCGCTCCCTTTTTGCCTTTTTATAGCGCGTAATCGATTACACAATTAAATCACCGGCGTGCGCGTTCCGTTTCGCGGCGCGGCGCGGTCAGAATCCAGAGCTTTATCCTGCCTTGCCCGGTCCTTTAAAGGGACCGGCAAGTAGGCTATGGATTTCCCAAGCCAGTAAAGGTTGCTGAAAAACAACGTCTTTTAGATTCACGCCTCGCCCCTCCGGAATGTCCAACAACGTACAGGGTAGGGGTGTCATTTGGAGCGTAACGTCCCCTTTTAGCCCCACAATTCTGCACTGACAGATCGCCGTGGTGTGCCGCTTGGCTACAGGGAAATCCCGATGTTTGCAGGGTTGGTTAAAGAAAATTATTAAGCGAGAGAGAGAGAGAGAGAGAGAGAGAGAGAGAGAGAGAGAGAGAGAGAGAAAGGTGAGAGAGAGAGAGAGAGAAAGGTGAGAGATGAAGCTAGAGGGAGAGAGTGAGAGCTAGAGAAAGAGTGAGAAAAGCGAGAGAGAGCGAGGGAGAGGGGCAGAGAGCGAGAGAGAGAGAGAGAGAGAGAGAGAGAGTTACGAATAGCTGAATTCCGGGCAGGCTAGCAGAGATCCTTCGCCAATCCCAAACCTACCGTAATCCTAGATCTCTTCAATCTACATGCGACGCGACTGCGCGAGAAGCTGCGGTTTCTGCCGACGGCGCAGCGTGCGTCTCGTTCCTCATGCTCGTGCCCTCGGGCTCCGAGTCGAAGTGAGCATGGGATACGGTAGTTTATCCACATTTTAGGGTGATTCCCACTCTCGGCCGTCGATTGGATGAATGCAGAAATTTAAAATTTTTGATTTTTGTGATATTACCGGTGACTTTGCTCAGCGACATTTATTTTGATTTTTTTAATTCTTTTGTTTTCTCTAATAAGGTTTCCTTTTTCAATTCTCTAACGATACTACGGGTCTTACCAGATGCCACTTATTGAATAAATTTTTGCAGATGACGTTTTTGTAACGAGAGAGAGAGAGAGGGGGAGAGAGGGAGCGAGTGTGTTTGATAGATAGAGAAGGAGAGAGCGAGAGTGAGAGAGAGTGAGAGAGAGAAAGAGCGAGAGAGAGAGGGGGGGAGCGAATGTGTTTGATATATAGAGAAGGAGAGAGCCAGCGAGAACGAGAGTGAGAGAGAGAGAGAGAGAGAGAGAGAGAGAGAGAGAGAGAGAGAGAGAGGGAGCAAGAGTAAGGCGGATAGCGAGAGCTACAGAGAAACCCCCCGTTTTGTGAATCTATCACAAGCTCCAAAGGTCTCTAAAACTGAACCCCTACCCTCGGCTCCTTCTTACATCTCCCCTGACAAGCAACATTAGTGTTGAGGGGGTGTCAAGTGGGGGCTAAAGCCGGAAGACGTGCCCTCACGGGGCAGAATTTGGCCAATCTCGGTGTGTCGACGAGGCCAAATTTGTCGCCCAGGATATGTAGCTCGCCCCAAAAGCGGCTCAATTTGTCTTGGCCTTCGTTAGAGAGAGAGAGAGAGAGAGAGAGAGAGCGATCGGCTTCTAACAGGACGTCATCACGATTGATGGCTAATTGGATGATGCGATCTGTCGAGATATACCCGCGGCAAATAAACAACATCCATTCAGCGAATTCTCCCCCTTGGGAATACTAATTTCCAGACATGGCAATTCGGATCGGCCGAGCCGCGCGGCCCGGCCGGCGGCCTAATTTCCATAAAAAACCGGCCCCCTACGAGCGCCGTAATAGTTACTCCGGAAATGCGGCTTTGCGGCCCAGCCGCATTTCCATTGCGGCTCGGCCGGGCCGCTGCGGTCAAGCCGCAAACCGGAAGTGGCTCATTTGCATACGAAAAATCCGCGAATTTCATGCAAAATGGCAATGGAAATGAGAAAGTTAAGGTTGTCGAACATAAATATTCCTAGTTAGCAAGCTAAACACCCATTGCATCTCCGATTTACGTACCGGAAGTACTCAAAACTCATTTGGATGCGGCCTTAAAAGCCGCGCGGCGCCGCCGGGGCCTCAAAACAGGCCGCGGCCGCGCCGGAGGTGCGGGCCGCGGGCCCGGCCGCATTCTAATTTTTGCGGCCGAACCGCGGCCCGGTCATGTCTGCTAATTTCACACCCCCCGGCTACCGTAACCCTCAAATCTGGGGGTCCGAAAAGGGGACTATAGCTTTGTATTAATTTTTCAAATTTTCTCTGCTCGTTTGACTATAAACTTAGAATTTTGCCTTTGCCCTAGCCATAAGCTTGAGTCTAGCTTAGTCTTGGCTTAGGTTTGGCTTAGATTTAGCTGAGGCTTAGGCTTAGGCTTTGGCTTCGATTGGTCTTGCTCTAGGCTTAGACTTCGGCTTGGCTTGGGCTTCGCTGGGTCTTGCTGTAGTCATGGCTTAGGCGTGGCTTAAGCTTAGCATAAGCTTAGCTTAGGCTTGGTTCAGGCGCTGGCTTGGCTTAGGCTTGGCTTAGGCCTGGTTTAGGCTTCGGCTTAGCTTAAGCTGGCTCTAGCTTGGCTTAGGCTTGACCGAGGCTTGGCGTAGGCGGGGCTTATGCTTATGTTTAGGCTAGGCTTGGCTCAGCATTGGATCAATCTGGCTTCCGCCTCGCTTACGAGTGGTTTCGCTTAGCTTAGGCTTAGGGGTTGCGTTTCCGATTGGGCTGGCTTGGGTTCAGCTTAGGCTTAGGTTAGGCTTTCCTTATGCCTAGGCTAGACTTGGCTCAGGATTTGATCAAGCTGGCTTCGGCTTCGCTTAGGAACGTTTTTGCTCAGCCTAAACTTAGGGTTGACGCTTCGGCTTAGGCGTGCCTGGGACCTGGCAAAACACAGGCCTGGCTTACGCTTCGCTTGGTTTTGATGTAAGCTTGGCTTGCGTTTGAGCTTAGGCTTGGCTTAGGCTTCTTAAGCTTAGCTTAGGTTTAGGCTTAGGCTTAATTTGAGCACCCTATAAAAATTTCTAACATTTTCTCTCCCCTCCCTCGGCCCTACCACAGCGTTCTAAATGACGAGGATATTTAATGAGAGAGAGATCAAGAGAAAGAGAGAGAGAGAGAGAGAGAGAGAGAGAGAGAGAGAGAGCAACAGACAGTTTTCCCGGGGATTAATTAACGTGTGCGATTGGTGGTCGAGAGCTCTCTCCTCCGCAATTAGTCCCTCTCCAACCTACCGCGCGGCCACGTGCATCACTTTTTCTTCTTTCCTTCTTCTGCTGCTCCTTTTTTTCGATCTCATGCTCCTTCTCGGCCCTTCAATTAGGCGCGTCGCATTGCTCTTCTCTCCCCTTCAGCCGGTGGATTCCCAGGGGAATTCGCTTCTCTTCGTCTTTCTTTTCTGGTGCTCCGGAATGATGATGACCACCCAGGGGAGATGATGTCGGAATTTTGCGAAAATTTGGGGTGGCAAGGGAAAAACGGTTCTTTGGCATTATTGTGGGGAACAAAGTTTTCCTCAGTTTTTCTAATAATGAGCTGTTTCTAAATTTTTTACTATTCCTCAACCTTGAAATTCTACAAAATTTTTTAAAAAAAAATTTTTATTATTAAAAAAAAAAAAAAAAAAAATAAAAAAAATAAAAAGAAAAAAAAAAAATTTAATAAAAAATATCGATTTTTTCGATCAAAATTTCAACTAAAAAAACTTTTTACGTTTCTTTATTGTTTTTCGACTTGAAATATAGTAAACAATTTATTTATTTTTATCGTTATTCTATTTTTTAGTCAATTTTTATATTTGTTTATATTTTTTGAAGCTGAAATAATTCTGAATATATTTTTTTGTTTTTAAATAGTGGCACTTTAAAAACCAAAGTTTTAGAAATAATAAAAAATGTGAGCCCCCCGGTTATTTTTTTTTTTTTTTTCTTTTTATACCAGTTTTTGGTTTTATAAAGTTAACGACATATTTTTAAGATATTGTGAAGTGAGTAAAATATCTAACAATCGATAAAAACGGTGGAAAAAGAGCGATTTCTAGACTCCAAACTTAAAGAATCACGTAGATTTCGGGTTTTTAATTTTTTTATAAAAGTTAAGCCATTTTTTAAAGTCTTCGAAACCCCGTTAAGCCCGTAAAATTTAACAAGTGCGGAAATTCCGCTTTTCTATCGACCAAATCCAGCTAATTTTAGGTTTTTAACACCTTTAGCTATATTTTTAACGTCTCCCCAAATTGGGTAACGTCTATAAAAAATGAATAAAAATTGCCTTTTCTTTTTAAATTTTTTCTGGAAAAAAAGCGAAACCCCCTCGTTTTTCTTCCCAAAAATTCCGCGTGGCGCTAATGCGGATCCGCAGCGAGATGACATCACCGCCCGGCTTTTCCTCGGCTTCTTCTTCTTGTTCTTCTAGGCTTCTTCTCCCCGTTTCTTCCTCCTTTTCCTTCCCCCCTAAAGGGTGCCGACCCGACCCGGGGGGCCCGGGTGGGGTCCCGGGCTAGGCTAACGATTTTCGGCCAGGCTAGCCGAGGCCCAGGGCCCTCCCACCCAACACATACACACCACTCTCTCTCTCTCTCTCTCTCTCTCTCTCTCTCTCTCTCTCTCTCTCTCTCTCTCTCCTCCCTCTCCACAATTATTGGAAATCATTGGAAAGGAGAAGGAGAGAGCGGTGAGGGGGTTACTAGAGATCACAATGAGAGTAGAGAGGCCAGAGAAGGGCCCAGGGGAGCAGAGACATCTCTGGTCCCTCCCCCTCTCCCCACTCTCTCCCCCTGCCCCTCCTTCGCGAGACCGCGACGCCCGGCCGCACCCCGTCAGAGCCCCCGGCCGGCCGGAAGACTCGACGATCCCCCTTCCCCCGCTTCAGCTCTCCTCCCCTCCCCCCCTCTTCTTCCCATTCATCGGACTGTCTCCAGGATTCTACAGCCAGCTCTTCACAATCCCTGGCCCGACGCCAGCCACACGGTAGCCATCGGGTTATTAGGCGGACGGAGCACGGGTTTAACGCCCTTTCACGGCAGTTGGTGCCTTTTGGAAATCACGCCCTAATATTAATAATAGCCTGCAAAACAGGCTTTTTTCCTGTATATAACGCCATTTCCTTTTGAAATATATACTTTTTTTGGAAGGCGTTAAATACAGGATAGCGCGAACGAGCGGTAGATACGGGTTGCCTTACGCCGGGTCTTTACTCCAAAGCTAATTATAGCGACAATTCGTTACGCCGATTTTCAATACGTCGACGATATGCTACAATTATTCCGTATTCGCACCACACGGCCCAAAAAAAAGTCTAAAACAAGCGCCCATCTAACTTCTCACCCGGTATCCGTGACGCCCCAAAATTGCACCAGTATTGGTGTAGGACCCGAAATAACAACGATTCTGACTTACAGCCCGATTGCTAGAGTAGTGTGATTGCAACAAAATATTTCGTTTTTCGGCAATTTTCAGCGTTTTTGCTGCATAGTGTCAGGCTTTGCATCGGTTGCCGGCTGCGAATCCCCGCGTCAGTTTCGGGTCCTACGCGCTTTTGTGTTCAAAACTGATCGAAATCAACCGTTTTTGTTTAGTCAGGCAAAAATTACTGGGTAAAAAAGGCTTGACGCATCATTTTCACTTGGTATTTATAGGGTTAATTCTCCTGAGAATACAATAAAAAATGGAAGCAAAAGCGAAAGTTTATTTTTGTTATGAAAAATACGTTAGCTAGTGGGTTATAAGTAAGGAGTGTTGTTAATAAGGGTCCGATACATTTTTGGTGCAATTTTGGGAATGACCGGATGTAAGGCCGCCAAATACCAAAGCTTCTTTGGGAAAACCGGCTTGATCGCCAGATGAAATTAGCTTTTTCGGCGTAATGAATTGTCGGCCTAATTATTTTCGGCGTTATGAATGTACTATAACGATGTAATCACCCAATTTCCAGCCAAAGACGCTCGACACCGCGCGCGGGGCCAACACGACAAAAGCTGGGAAGACGCGCGCCAGGGTGCAGCCGGAAATACACACGCGTTGACAGGGCGGCCGGGATACTGGATGCGGCAGTGTGGGAGTGGCCCGAGTGCCCACGAGGAGATCTCTGCCTCCCATACATAGCCATTCTCCTGTAAAAAAGGGCCAACGAGACCCCGGCGCGCCCGCCACCACGGCGCCCCCAAGCGCCCATCCCACGGCCACCACCACGCTCGGCAAGGTAACGCTTATTCCTTACTTTTATCGGTCTTTTCTTAGCTTTCTGGCCCTAAAAATTATTTTAAAATTTTTTAAACGTCTAAAGCGTTGAATTCTTTATGTTAAAGTTAGTAAGCGCTTTTTAAACGTCTAAAACGTTGAATTCTTTACGTTAAAGTTAGCAAGCCATTTTTAAACGTCTAAAACGGTCAATTCTTTAGTTTAAAGTTAATAAGATATCTTTCGACTTTGTAGGGGTTATTGCTAAACTAATATAGCTTTATAAATCTAATTATAACGCCAGATTCGATCATTGAAATAGTTGTTAAAGCTCTAAAACGCTGAATTTTATATGCTAAAGTTTCTAGAATATCACCTCGTTTTTGAGAAATTTCCAGAAAACCAATAACTTTTCCAATAGAGTTTATAACGATAGTTTAGATTTGATTCACGAAACTAATAACCGAAAATTTGCACTTTAGTAGACGCTTATTCGCTTATTTTGAAAACTTTATAGCCCATTTTTTTAGTATTGATGAATTTGCGAAACCAAGTTTGCAAAAACGCGCTTGTAGCGAGTTTTTAGATATCCAAACTATAAACTACAAGCTATAGACACAGACTTTTGCAGTTAAAACCCTGTATAATTTACCGGTTCAGCTCGATGCGCTGTGTGGTCGGCTCCTGGAATCGGCGCAGCTGCGGACACACAAATACTTTCGAGTCGCCGTCCCGCACGCCCTCACCGGGCAGAGTCTTGTAAGTTTTGTTATTAAAAACGTCGCTTTTAAAAGATTTTATGTTCCCAAAACGGATCGAACTATAAGAATTCTTCTAGAAAACCTGCACGTTAGAAAATATTCGTTCGCAAAATTTGGCTTCGGTTGTTTTATGTTTACAAAGATCCATAGTAGTGTGTGAAAAGCTTTATAAGTTTTTTCTAAATAAAGGAAAATGTGGGCTATTTATTTATTTTCTTGTTTTCAGGTGGCTCTGGTCGGCGAGAAGGGGCATGCCGATGATGAAGTAGAGGCCACCCATTTGGCCACCCTCCTCCTCCAATACGGATATTTGTTCCCGGTGATTGAGCCACAATCTCAGGTTTGTATCTTAATCATTTGAGCTATTATGATTTTTGTAAAGGCGATCATGGCCGATTTAGCGTCTCTAATATACAGGAATCTTGTAGAAACATGAAAAATCCTTTTCGAAACCTGTAGAATAGTTCTAAAAGATTCTATTTTCTATTTTCACTAGGAAATAAGCTTTTCCGACACATTCTAATCGTTTAAGCTGCTTAATTCACCGTTTAATCCCTATTAAATTTCCTTTTTTCATTCTCTATGGACAAATTCAAACAACGTTTCAAATTTTTGCTATCTATCACCTTTTTTAGAGCTGAAATTCTGTTAATAAACTGTTGATGTTGCTAAGTTTAAGTTTTCTATCTTTCCAAAATCATAATCCACGTTTTCAGTTCCAAGTTCGAGATGACGGCACCCTCTACCGGTTACAACGGCCGTACTTTTGGCCCTCCCACGCCGCCCAGACGGATAACGTCGAATATGGTGAGTCGCACTCAATTTATCTATCCTGCTCCTCTACATCCATTTTATTTACGTCCTCCTTTGCTTTTGCGGATTTTCCAAACCCTGCGGACCCAGTGACAATTGTCGATTTTTGGGGGGCTCCCGCCGTTGGTGCCCGTGTCGTGTCCCCGGCTTGGAAGGGGCCAAAAATCGATCGTGGGCCCTCGGCCGCTTCCTCCCCTTTATAGTTTGTCGACCCGGACGGGGGAAAACGGTTGGGAGGATCTGGCTCTGGGTTAAAAAAAATAAAATAAGCAGGAAAGGAAAAGTTAGCCAGCAAAATTAGAGGTATTTTAGTTAGTTGTACAAAACTAAGGGGTCTTTTTCGAGGGATGTTTAAAATTTAGTAAAATACGTAGGAAAAGCTTTGCGCCTTTCGCTGGCAATTCCGGTACTTTGGCGTTATCAGGGGGGACTTTTCCTTAGCCTCCAAAGTTTTTCTAATATTACTTTGTTACTATTACTAAACGTACAGAAAACTAAAAATACAATTAGTACTAAGATACTAAATTTTAGGCCAAAAAATACTGATTTGACCATCGACCAAAATTAAAATTTTTAGACGATTTTCTAGGTATTTCTTTTTTTAGATAGGTTTTTTGAAAGATGATTACATTTTATTATGACCCGATGAAAATGCTTTATTTTGATTTAATAGGTGTATCTGGCTGTATAATCCCCCCCGCTCCCCCCCCCGATAGCGCAAAAGCACCCCCCATATTTCCTGCAACTTTGTTCGAAGCTTTTCTCAATTTTCGAACTATTATGGGCAGCAACGCTTTGGCCAACTTTTCCAGTTTTTACATCCGCTTTTTTTTCTGGCGACGCGCCAACACGCTGCACGGAGGGGGAACACAAACACCTTGCCGCAGCTCGATATGTATCGGATTAGAGGGGGGAAGCGCCAGATTACCGCCCCCGGATTTCATTCATAAAATAGCACCGACACGACGATCCCCCCAAGGGACCGGCAGAATTAACGCGTAAACGAGGGGGCCCGCCAGCCCGATAAGCCGTGTCGCCGGCAGGTACTTTTATAGTGTTGATAGCGCGAAATTATGGCCGAAGAATTTTGGTTGGAGAATCTACATTGAAAATCGGGATGAATAAATAAAGCTAACGCCCGAAATATATAAATTTTGCAAAGTTAAAATAGGTTCTTTGGTATTAACGGGGGGGGGGGTGAATTTTTCTACAAGTACGCACAGCCTAGGAACGTAATTTAAAGCATTTTACTAGTTTTTGCACTATTTACTACATTTTAAATAACTTTTGGCTTTTGAAAAACGTGTAATTTGTTCGAAAATCGGCCATTTTAAAAACATCGATATTTTTACAATTTTTAGCCAAAATTCGGAGAGCGTTGCGTTTAGGAACAGTAAAAACACTAGCTCTATTCATAGCCCCCTCCCACCCCCTTAACGAAAAAGTGCCATAAAAATCACATAACCAAAAGAAATAATTTTTAATAAACATAATTTTTAGCACGTTAAATTGTAACTTCTTTATGGGAGGCTTTCGTCATGAAATTCAGCAATAGAATTTTTAAAACGGCTTTGGTCTCGATATTTTTTCGCCCCAACATTCTGTTTGGGGCTTTTTTCCGAAAATTCCGCGAGATTTCGGTTCCTCAAGACCAAAACCTGGCTTGGAATGGCCTATATAAATTTTAAAACGGGCGGTGGAACACGATTTTTTTTGGCCCAAAGTTAATTCTTAGAGACTTTTATCGTGAAATTCCACGAGATTTCGATTCTCCCAGATGAAATGCGGGCCGTGAATGGGCCCTCCTCCTCCTCGGGTCTGTTAGACAGTACGGGTTCGATTCCCCTGGGTGGGCTTGTTGACCGTACACACCCTCGCAAAAGCCGTATTGACGTCAGAGAAGACGGGTGCCCATCCACCTATCCATCCCCTTCTCGATCCCATTTCAACCACACACACTTCTCAATGAATGCCCCCCCCCGGCTCGCCGATCGAAAAACGGGGGATTAACGCCCTGGAAAAAAATAGAAAAAAGAAGCCCAAACAATTGTGCAACTTTTCAGCAATCTACCTGAACAAGCGATTGTTACGAAACGAGCAACGGCACGGGTTAGAAGAGGATGAGGTGAGCAACAGCGCATTTTGGTGTTTTCAAAAAGGAGCAAGAACAAGAAGAAACCTATTAACATCACTTTTCCTATAATTTTAGATATAGGGAAACGTCACAAAAGTTAATACGCTTTTCTGTCAAAATTTGGCTATATTTCAGATTGAAAAAATTTTTGAAAACTTACAAAATGCTATAAAATATCCATTTTATTATTAGTCGAAAAAATGATAGTTTTTTCAAAAATCTACAAATAGAAAAAACTTCTAATGTACAGAAATCAACTATTTTTTCCAGATCGAGGCCTACAACAAACTCGCCGAGCTCCTCGCCCACATGTGGGGCTTCATCACCGCCCAGGCCGAGCTCCAGCTCAAGCAACAAAAAGAGAAAAAGAAGGCCGACAAGGTGGGGAACTCTCGAAAATCGCGAAAACCCTAAACAATTATGAAAAAAACCCTAAAACATATACCTTATTTAGGTGGTCTACGACAGCGAGGAGAGGGCATTCTGGAGGATACGACGGCCGGGGACGGCTAACTGCCTCGAGCAGCACGTCCAAAAAGTCGAAAAGCGGTTGCGGAAAGCGACGGCTGCCGGATATCGGAGTATCGTGGAACGGTTGAAATTTTCAATAAAGACGAAACCGTGGCTGAAGGCGCCCAAGGCTTCTGGGGAGTGAGTTTTACATTTTTATATTAGAAACTTTATTAAACGGCTTTTTATAGTAGAATTTATAACTCCCTCGCTTCAGCATGGTGAAATGGGTTGAAAATCTACACGATCACGACCCGCTCCTCGCCTCATCACAACAGATCAGCAACCCGTGGATTACGGACGAGACGACACTGTGGACGTTGAATACGGACGCGTAAGGACATTCTTATTACTTACTTATTTGCTTTATTATACACGAAATTACTTACTTTTAATATCATAATTTTAGCGTCGAAGTGCCAACCGAGCGGAGAGTGAAAAGATGGGGAATCTCGGTGCAAGAGCTCGTCAAGGATCCGATTGGCAGACAGGTATGCGCACTAAAAATCAATAAACTAAGACAATTCTTGTTTTCTTAGCATCTAATTTTGTTAATGTAAGTAGAGGAAGTGTTTCTTCACTATTTTTAACTATTCCTAAACGCAAAAACATTCAAAAATTTGATAAAAATACTAAAATATAGATTTTTCGACTTAAATTTCACTGTTTCTACCTTTTCAAAGTTTTCTAAATAGTTTTCCTTTAGCAATAAAGCTAAATTTTACAAAAACAACTGAAATTCCGTTTCCCGATCCCGGAACCGACAAAAAAAACCCCAAATAATCACAATTTCTAGGTGCTGGAAACGTTCCTGGAAAGCGAGTTCTCCTCCGAGAACATCCGCTTCTGGATCGCCATCCAAGATCTCAAATATTCGACGAATGCCGAGATCGAGCCGAAAGCCGAGCGGATCTACGAGGAGTTCCTAGGCCCCGGCGCGCCCTGCCAAGTCAATGTCGATTCGCGGACGTTGGAGCGGACGATGGATCTGTTGAATGCGGGAAATCCGCGGCGGCACGCGTTCACGCACGCTGAGGAGCACGTATTCACGTTGATGAGCAAGGATTCGTATCCACGATTTGTGAAATCGGCTATATACAAGGTATGTGGGAAAAGGTATAAATCCGAAATCGGTGCTTATGCATTAACGGGGTCCTTTTGCCAAGGATCAAAATTTTTTTAATCAATTTAAGAACTATTTCAACACTGTTTTTACTATTTTTACTATTTCCAAACGCAAAAACGTTACAAAATACAAAAATATCGATTTTTCGACTAAAATTTCCGATTTTAAACTTTTTAAAGAGGTTTGCCGTTTGAAATATAGTTAAATTCCACTAAAAACACTATCAAAAAGTTTTATATTACGTTACTAGGCATATTGCGAATATTGAATGATCGGCTAAAATTGCCCCCCCCCCTGATAAAGCAAAAGCACCCCTAGATCGCACGTAAAACTGTCAAGTACGAATTGATACTTTTCAGGGCGTGCTCACGGCGGCCCAGCAACAAGGTTCAAAGCGGGTAGGCTGGCGTAATTTCATCTTCAACATGGGAGCGACCAAGAAGCCGCTAGGTGAGCATCATCAAACACTAAATAATAATAATATTCTCACCCTGGATCATCTGGATGCTTTTTAACCAAGCACAAATTGACATTTAATTTAGGCAGCTTTTTAGCAAGCGAAGAAGTTAGACATGAAAAACTAGCTAATTCTAGTAAGATATAACTTTTTCCGGGTTAGAAAAGTTCAAAATAGCTAGCTACATGGGCTGTAAATTCCATTCGGGCTATAGCCTATCTTGGGCAGAATTTTTCGCTGATTCCGCATGAAGGCTCTGAAAAATATTCTGAACTTTAAAAGCTGATATTTTGGGCCAATTCAAAACAAAAAACCACTGTAACTTTTAAATTTTCAAAAAAATGTTGCTCGGAAACAGCGAAAAGCTCTAGACAAGGTATCCGAGGTCCCGAATGGCTTTTCTAACCTGTGTAAAAGCATATTACTGTAAGGGCTAGTTTTTATAGAATTTTTATACTAGATGCCCAGCTTAATAATTACAACTATCGCTTTAGAATCGACAAAAACATAAAATAAAAGGTCTATTAGCTTTAGTATCTCCAAAAACCGTAAAATAAAAGATCTAAAGCTTATAATAATCTTTTTTTTATTTAAACTCTAGCATAGCCCTAATCAAAATAGCGGCAAAATTCTCAAGCCTCAATCAGCTGCAGCCGCTGCTAAAACGCATGTCGCCGAAAGAGCTCACGTTCCATTACTAACACTCGTTTTCCGCGTCGGCTGCAGACCTGGGACTCTTCAGGCAGCAGGCAACACAAGACGAGTCGGGATGATAGCCATCATCAACAGCTGCCCAAGCAGCTCTCTTCCGATTCCCTACCCGTCGCCAAAACTCATCATAACAGGTAAAAAAAAATAATCGATATAATTAATTAATAAATAACGATCACAAACCGGGGCCAGAAACCAAATCACGCTTTTTTTACTAGCTTTTTATAACATTTTTTTTGAAAACAAATTCAACACACTCATCGAATTACGGGTTCTGGTTCGTTAGCGGGGGGACTAACTTCCTTGCAACTTGACCATTTATTTTAATATAGCCATTTTCATAGTTTTTAGTCGCTTTAAATCATAAAAAATTTACAAAATCACAGTCTAAACATTCAAAATTTCTGCAATGTTTATCAAGTTCGAATTTATCGAAAATTTTACGCTTTTTGTTAATATTTTATAGCGAAAAAAGCATAAAGTGTCTATAGTTCGGCGCCTACGGGACAGCCACCCCCCGATAACGAACCAGAACCCAAATTAGTACTAGCATCATCATACTACTGCGATTTTGGGTGCCTGCCAATTTTCAATTTTTTTATTGAAACTAGTCACAAATTAATTGAAACGAATGGAATTAACATTGAGATCGATACAATAAAGCAAGTGTAGTAGGTAAGGAAACCAGAAAGAGAGAATAATAAAACCAACGATAACTATTAATTCACGGGGCGCGGGAGGATCAGAAAAAATTTGCCTGAAAGGCGACACGTTTTAAAACAGTATAACATTTAGACTGGAACCGCCCTCAGAATGACCATACGGGTGCTGGGCACTTGGTGCCACCTCCATTGCTACTGCCGAGCAGCAGCAGCGGCAGTCCCGGCAGCCATCGAGCCAGTTTCCGCGGCGTCCATGGGCCCTGACTCGAGCATCGTAGCGCAGCGGAATTGGAGTCGCAGGAATGCTATCTAAAAATATTAATATAGGTCTGATTGTCCAGTGGATCGAAAAGTTAAATTTTAAATTACAAAAAACTGCGATAAATTAAAATTAATTTAATTAAATTCAAATCCCACTTCAATAATGGCCCCATCGTGAATTCTGGTGCTTTCTCCGGTCAAAAGAGCGCGGGAATCGACGACCATTGGTCGCTGGCCAATACATTGTAGCCACCAACCATCCGATCGGCGCTCGAGCACTGCCTAAATTAAATTATTTTTACAAAAAAAACAACAAAACATACCTGTTTGCGTGAAATTTTGAGCGCTGGTCCTTCTAGCGCTAGGTTGACGTCGATTTGCGCTTCAGCCGTGCTCCTAGTGTGATTATTATTTTTGAAAAGTGGAAAATCCTAACCTTCCAAGGGTTACTTTTTCCGATTTAATATTATAACGCGTGACGCGCCCATTCAGCCGCGCGTAGACACCCTTTTCAAAACGGTCTGGTCGGCAAATGCCAGTAACCGGAAGCGGGGACACTTTTGACCACATCCTCAGCGCCGTGTCGCGTGCCACAATTTGGGAGGTGACTCGGGCCAAAACCTAAAAAAAATGTAAATTAACAAAAATCGTTTAACCTCATCCACTGGGCCATCGGAGACCGCATTAAACGTATTCTCAATTTTCTCCAGTCCACATTGTCGCTCACGGTCTCGGTTGGTGGTGTCCAGCAGTCCGTACCTATAAAAAAACACCCGTTCCATTCTGCGGTCTAGTCAATCCAAGTCATCTGCTCCCATCATCATAGGCCCAATTCCTCCACTTAACACATATGCCCGTCTCACTTCATGGCAAATCATATATATGCGCTAGATATCGATTTTGCCCACCGCGTTTTTTGGCCCTCTTTCTGTGCTGCGCCCAACAATACTGATCGGCTCAGCCGGGGAAATGCGTGGAATCAGGCTCTCGTTTTTTCCCCGTCACTCCCTCCCCGCCCCCCACGACTCGTTGTTGTACATATGTACGCAGCTTTACTGCATAATGCCTCACAATGCCTTGTTAAGTATCAGGAAGAGCCAGTGCACTCCGCCCCACCCCACAAAGTGGCAAATATTTCCGGAACTGGGCTGTTAGCGGGGGGAGCTAGCTAACATCTTTTATGTCTTTTACGAGCTTTGCTTCTCATAAAGTGATCAGAAACTTTAAAAAACTGAAACTTTTGACGATTTAGATAGATTTTTTTGCCAAAAATCAAAATTTTCGACGGTTTTTATAAACTTTCTATGCGTGAATGAAAGTTACACAAAACGCCAACCCCCCCCGCTAACAGTCCAGTACCCCGGCCACAACAACCAAAAAACAGCCCTTCCTGCAATCCGTGAAAGCTCAGTAAGGCTACTTGCTTTAAAAGGGAATGGATTTTGTGTGTTTATCATAAAAGCTATAGTTTTTCAATTATCCCATCACAAAGTCCATTCCACACCCACAGCGCCCACTAATAAGTATAGCAGTACACTACCAAATAGTGTCCGCCACGCCCTCCACCTTCCTCCCACGAAAACGCCCTGCCATCTCCCCCTTCCTTATCGTTTTTTGGTCTTCATTTTCTTTTGTTTATCCGCTTAAAGTTTTATGGAGTTTTATATTATTTTAAAACCCGTCGTCGGCGCCAACACCCTCGTTTCGGCAGTAATGTATATGTGTGTGTGCACGAAGCCCGCCCCCGTGACATAGGTAGTAACTTCTGTTTCAAGAAGAACTTTGACATCTCGATGGGCTAAATCTTCTCAAATTCTTGGAAAAACGCGGTGGAGGTATGAAAAATACACAAGACAACCTTGTTAATAAAGTTTGCCCCTTCACCTCCCCGCGCCAACCTCAGCTGCCCCGCGCGCTTTTTGTCTTTCCTCCCGCCGACACAACCACAGGAATCGAGACATCGCCCGTGACAGCCCCCTCTCTCTCTCTTGCACCCTCCCCTAATGTCGAACGTCATTCTACCCACCGTTTGTCTACATGATTTTTGCTCAATAAATATTACCAATTTTCTGGTGACCAGGGTAAAGAAATTACACTAAAAATATCATTTCCATGGCACAACACTTGCGGCGCGAAATTTTTGGCCGAACAGCATCAATGTTAATTTTGGATACCAATTGGCTTACCACTGCTAATAAGCCAGAAATTACTTTGAAACCTGCAAACATGAAAAATGAGCCAACACTATTTTTTCAAAATAAGTTTTTTTTGGCGCAACTGTCGGGCAGCTATTTCCACGCAAATTTCGGAAAAAGTCATATTTTCGAGAACTTTTCGAAAAATCCGCGTCCAACTATCAATAGGAAATGCCACAAAGCCATGAGAAGTAGCAATCATAATTTTTCGAAAAAGTGATTTTCGGAAATATGACTTTCGAAACGTGATTTCCCAAAAAATCATCGCCCGCCTACAAACGCACATCTTCATCTGATGAAAGTGGTCGAGCAGCACCTGGGCCGTCCTTGCTGGATGGAAGATTTCGTGCTTGTCGAGGCGCAATCGCTCAAAATCCTGAAAAATACAAAAAATGATGACACCGCCCGAATGTACTACCTCCAGTTGCGGCACATTAGCCCGAGAGGCGGCAAAAGCAATTATCAGGTCCTCTTCGGCCACCGTGAAGATTGTCATACTCTAAAAAAGACAATACTGCACAAAATCCGCTAAATATACCTGAATTTTTTGAATATCTTCCGGCTTCATCTCGCTGAACCTCTTTCGCGCCACCTTATTCTGAACGTCGTCGTACATCAGTTGGTACCACCTATAAAACTTAATTTAAGTTATGAACAGCGTTTATTACCTCTCTTCAATCTCTGAAAGCGTGAAGCTCTTCGAAAAACGCACGCCAATATGGATGGCGGCAATGTCGCACACCTAACCTCAAATTTAAACAATAAAATTGGGCTCACATGGACTCCAGCAGTCAAAAGCTTCACGTCGTCGCTGGCCGACCATTTCTTCAACGGCTCGATGGCGTTGTGATCGAAAAGCTAAAATATAAATTATATCTCCTTCAGAAGAATCGTACCTCTGCGGCCATGGCAATTTCCTTGATTTTCGTGTCCTTTTGAACCTTTGGCAGTCTCATCTTCTTCTCGGGCGGCTCATAAACAGGGGCTTGATGCGGGATTTGTTTGAACGGCGCCGGGACATCCTCCTTCTCAGCTTTTATCGACCTTCGCCGGACGACTAAATATGTTGTGATGAAGAAAAAGAAAAGTAGCATACCTGGTTTTGGCGTAGTTGGTTCTAGCTTTTCTGCAACCTTTGGATGCTCCTTCTCGGGACTCTTCGTTTTGGTGGCCGCGGGAGCCGGAACAGGCAAAGCAGCCGGCGCTTCCTCCATCACAGGTTGAGCTTCTTCTTCTTTCTCCTGCCGCTCCTCTTCGTCGGGCCGTTCGGCTTGGGAAATGGAGGGCGAGTGCAGAGAGTTTTCAGAGCCCTGTCGTTTCTGAAAACAACGCATTAATGGCTGGCTGTGCATGGAAAAAGAAGGGGCACTGGATAAAACGCACCGTGGTGATTCTGAGGTCCGGGATGCTTTCGACAATCTCGTCGTCGAATTTTGGTCTTCTGATTTCACGGGCGGATCGGCGAATTGGTTTCTCGGAAGGGCTCATTTCACCATCTTCTGGCCGGGTGCTTACGACGGTGCCCGAAGACGAGGGTTCATCTTCGAACGGTGTCGCGTCCATCGAATCGTTCATACCTGAAAGAATGCAAACTAGTCTTCCTACACAATATTAGTAAAGCGGAAACGAAACAGGGCTTCAAGGTTGAGGCGACAAGCTTGATCGCTTCAAGTTTCAAAAGCGAAACCCGGAAAAGCGAAAACCTGAAAATACGAAACAATACTATTCACGGCGCCATCGGCTAAAAGACAAGCATTCTACCGTAACAGGCTTTTCATTTCAAATGCTCACGCAAAAATTCGTCATTCGCTCTCTTTTTTGCTCAAAAGTTTGGTTTCTTTACAAAACGAACACTTTTCGTAATTCATAAAACTTTCTATAATTTTTGCGATCCGCGCCTACTTAAAATATGTTTGCAAAAGCCGAAATCTATTATTTGACGCCCTAAGCCATTCAAAACGACCTCCCCTTTTCAAATAAATTTGCCCGCGATTGTCAGAGAACGCATAGCACCCTACTTTCGCACCTAAATCTGTCTGCGCTCTAGCCTGGCGACTCCCTGAGCACCGTAGTGCCCGCTCGACACGGGCGCCCCAAGACCAATAGTTTTCACAGAGACATTGCCTCTTGTTATAAGAATGCGTTTTCCTCCTTGAATTTTTCTCTTCTTTAACGGGTTACTTTGCAGAAGTCGGCATCGCCCGAGGGAAATGCTCTCCAAAAGGCTCATCAGCGCTATTGGAAACACCGTCAAGGTTATTTTTATCGATTTTGCTTAGTAATCAGCGCCTTGGGTCCCCGCCGATCACTTGGCGGTGCTCCGATTAATTAATTTTTTGGGTTTTCTAAATTATTTTCTTTTAGGTGTCCCAGAATGGCATTGCCACGACTACCCGTGCTGCGGCTGCCTCTGGAGCCGAAGTCTCCAAGATCCTCGAGGAGCGCATCCTTGGCCAGGAGTCCAACATCAACTTGGAAGAGACCGGCAAGGTGCTGTCCATCGGAGACGGTATCGCCCGCGTCTATGGCTTGAAGAACATCCAGGCCGAAGAAATGGTTGAATTCGACGCCGGAATCAAGGTAAATTAGGGATTAATTTTTCATTGCGTTATTTTTAGGGAATGGCTCTCAACCTGGAGCCCGACAACGTCGGAGTTGTCGTCTTCGGTAACGACAAGGTTATCCGTGAAGGAGACACCGTCAAGCGTACCGGAGCCATCGTCGACGTCCCGGTCGGAGAAGGACTTCTCGGCCGCGTCGTTGACGCTCTCGGAAACCCCATCGACGGCAAGGGCCCGATCAAGGCTGCCAAGCGCTCCCGTGTCGAAGTCAAGGCCCCGGCATCATTCCCCCGTCTCTCTGTGCGCGAACCTATGCTTACTGGTGTGAAAGCCGTCGATTCGCTTGTGCCCATTGGCCGTGGACAGCGTGAGCTGATCATTGGTGATCGTCAGACCGGGTGCGTTTTTATGGTTTACTTTAGATTGATGGTTTTTCTGTTTCGTTGCTGTTGCGGAACTAACTTTTCCTTTTCCAGAAAGACCGCTATTGCCATCGACTGCATCATCAACCAGCAGCGATTCAACAATGCCACCGACGAGAAGAAGAAGCTTTACTGCATCTACGTCGCCATTGGCCAGAAGCGTTCCACCGTCGCCCAGATCGTGAAGCGTCTCACTGATGCCGGAGCCATGCAGTACACCATCATCGTCTCTGCCACCGCCTCCGATGCTGCCCCACTGCAGTTCTTGGCCCCGTACTCTGGATGCGCCATGGGAGAGTTCTTCCGTGACAACGGAAAGCACGCCCTCATCATCTACGACGATCTGTCCAAGCAGGCCGTCGCCTACCGCCAGATGTCTCTGCTTCTGCGTCGTCCCCCGGGTCGTGAGGCTTACCCCGGTGACGTCTTCTACCTTCACTCTCGCCTTCTCGAACGAGCCGCCAAGATGAACAACACCCTCGGCGGAGGATCTCTTACCGCTCTCCCCGTTATCGAAACCCAAGCCGGAGATGTGTCTGCCTACATTCCCACCAACGTGATTTCCATCACTGACGGACAGATCTTCCTCGAGACTGAGCTTTTCTACAAGGGAGTCCGACCCGCCATCAACGTCGGTCTTTCCGTCTCCCGTGTCGGATCTGCTGCCCAGACCAAGGCCATGAAGCAGGTTCGGTTTTGGCTAATGCGCCATAGGATTTTGTATGCTTGTAAAAAGTTCTTGGTGACGCATTTCATTTTAGGTTGCCGGTTCCATGAAGCTCGAGTTGGCCCAGTACCGTGAGGTCGCTGCCTTCGCCCAGTTCGGATCTGATCTTGATGCCTCCACCCAACAACTGCTGAACCGTGGTGTCCGTCTTACCGAACTGCTCAAGCAGGGTCAATACGTGCCGATGGCCATTGAGGAGCAGGTAAGATCTTACGGCAAATTTCAGTTTCTTTTTAGGTTTGCGTCATCTACGCCGGAGTAAAGGGACACCTTGACAAGCTCGACCCCTCCAAGATCACCAAATTCGAGAAGGAATTCTTGGCGCACATCCGTGCCAGCCAGCAGGAGCTCCTCAAGACCATCCGCGAGGAGGGACAGATCACGCCTGCCTCTGACGCCAAGCTGAAGGACCTTGTGACATCTTTCTTGGCCTCCTTCAAGGCCTAGGAACATCTTTTTGCATCACTCGTGGTTTAACGTGTACGCTGCCCCCCGTTCTGTAGATTTTGCCGATTGTAGTTCTGACTTCTATTTATGCTAGACTAAGGAATGAAAAGTTTATAAATAAAATTGTTTTTCTAGTTCCTTCCGTTGTTGCTACACGTGAAACTCGGGGGCCTTCTTTTCTAGAATAAAACTTCTTTGCCCTATTTACTGTGACCGGAGACACTGATATTGAAACTGCACAGACTAACAAAGGGTGTGGCACCGCACTGGACAACCTATTTGGGCATGGCGATTGGGTGACATTCAGTAGGCTGCTCCACCACCTAATTACAATTTATTGCCGAAAGGGTGTGGGCGTGGGGGGACATCGGTTATGGCGCCGCCGCTAGCCCGTCCAAGTGGATGGAGAGCGTTCTGGTCCTTTTGGGCGACGGCGTAGAAAGCCTGGAAGGGGGGACAAGACAGGGGTGTAGAGCGGATGGGCGTGGCCTGGGACCCATGGGTGCCTATCCTCCTCGGGAAGAAGCCGATCTCGTCCCTCGTGTTGCCCCCGGCTCTTCCCTTTCAACACCCGTGAGTTGCTTTGGCTATCACAGTGCTTACGCAAAGCTATAGTTTCATAGTTAGCCGAAGTTGTCATTTGTTCTATTGGCGGTTCTAGAACCTTAAGATTAACGCCAAAGTTGGGGCTTTAGCTTGCTGGCGCTCCAGGCCGATAATAAAGGGGCAGGATGGCGACTTGTTCGACATCCGGTGCTCCACCGGAGTATGCGAAGGCGCCTACCCTTCGATCTACCCAGAGCCAGATGGCCAATGGGCTGACTGTAGACCTCCTTGCTGCCGCACAGGTTAGAACTATTTTTTTCAGGTAGTCTGATGTCTAGAATTTGTTTATTAGTGACGGGAATCAAGATTTCTCCCTATTCCCGAACCCTAAACATCCATTCAGCGAGAGGCCAATTTCCTGCGTATGATCGACCGGAAGGCGCCGCTTCTCTACGAGCCGGATGTCGTGAATCAGGCGATACGGCGCTATGAGCAATATTGGTTACCAATGCAGGTTTGTCAACATTTTATGGTTGTACTCCTTTTTAGGCGCGACACCCCGACATCAACGTTATTCCCCCACTGGATGTTCATTGGATATGGCACACCCATATGCTCAGCCCAACACATTACCACGAGGTTTGTGTTTGCTCTAGCATCCGCCTAGCGACGTTCATTATTTGCCGGCTGCTCGCCCGGATATCGCTTGCCTTTTTATTTGTGCTTCTTTCATAGCTACTCCTCGTGAATACCCCGCTCTCAATTAGCCGAATCGCCTTGGCCGCCGTCCGTTTTTCAACCAGCCACACAAATTGGTCACGTGAACCCGGGTCGATTGGCCAAATTGTGCTCGGGGGCAATTGGGGGGAAGTAATACCTTTTTGTCCGGCTAATTTTCGATAGGGTGGATTTGACGAAAAAGATGGGGTAGAGATTGAGATTGGCTGCTCTTTAGTGTCAATTCTTTGACGATTTCGGCCCTTGTGCGTTAGCAGGGAGGGACTAAAGTCCTTTATTCAGGCTAACCTCTACCGTAATAAAAATATTTTGTTATTTGCCGAGTCCGAACACTTCAACGTTTTAAAAATAACAATAAATGGACATTTTTGAGCATTTTCTTACATTTTTAACCAAAAACTCACCTTTTTTTCTCGGAAATTCGATGAATTTTGCTATACGCTTTTTTATCTAAAAAGGGCGTAGCGGCTACAAAAATAATCTTTTTTTGCCATTATGGGGCGCCTAGGAAAAGGAAAAAAGTCAGGATCCCATCCCCCGCTAACGAACCAGTGCCGCCGTTTCTTGACCAATGGCTCTCTATTCAAATTCAAAAGTCAGCTCCTATTTTCTCACTTCCTCGTTGGAAACATAGAAAGCACCCTCCTCCTACTGCTCTTGCTCGTCCTCCTCCCCCATCTCGGTCGTGTGCATATGTCAGCAATGAAAATGAGCTGTTGGCCATTGATCGCTGGCTCGCGCCCCCCCGCCAGGGCGCGAAGCCCCCCGCCTTGTCTTTGCCCCGTTTTTTATTTCTCCTCGTCCACCCTTTCGGCCCAATACATACACACAGACGTCTTCAAGGGGCGAGGGGAAGGGGAGCAAGGGGCCATCTGGGAGGAGGAGGAGGCTAAAGCTCCCGTCAACGTCTCACCTTTTGGCCCGGGGGCCTGGGAGATGCATCTCATTTGTGGCAGGCTGACGCGCGGATCTGGAAGTCGCCTTTGAAATTAAGGGTTTTCATCAGGAGTGGAAGGAGTCTTTTGATCGGAGGGTTGGGAAACTGGCCGGAATGGGGGTCTCAAATTCGGGAAATTTTTGTAAGGGAGAGCGACGTTATTTGACCGATTTTTCATATGAGCAAAGGATATCTCGGAAAGGATGAATTTTTAGCGGTTTTCCATTTTTTTTATAGGTCGATTAGACTTTTTGTAATTTTCAGCTCGATTCCTTATGGACTTAGAATGTTCCTGAGTGTTTTTTAGTGTTCTATCCATTTTAATCCGTCTTCCAGACTCCTTTTCTCGCTGATTTGCTGCTCGGAAAATTAATGACGGGAAGTAAAGTTTCTTAGGGTGGCCGATCATCTGTTCGAAAATCACCTGTTCGAAAATCTTCTGTTCGAAAAACACCTGTTCGAAAATCATGTATTCGAAAATCACCTATTCGAAAAGACACCTGTTCGAAAAATCATCTGTTCGAAAAATTTGCATGTGGAATTGCCTAGAAATGGTACCAAAAATGACCATTTTCGAACGCATGTTTTTCGAACAGGCGACTTTTCGAACAGGTGTCTTTTCGAACAGAGGACTTTTCGAACAGACGTTTTTCGAATAGATGATTTTTCGAACAGATAATTTTCGAACAGGTGATTTTCGAACAGATGATTTTCGAACAGGTGATAGGGAATCGTTTCTTAGGCCAATTTTGCAGCGAATTTGAAGTATTCGGCTAAAGTCTAGGAAACCGCCAGCCGACTTTTCAACTTTCCTACCTTCCTTATTTTTATTTTCGCTACTTTTTTCGGTTCAAATGCAATGTATTCTTACTAATTGGCCTACTGCGAACATTTTGGTATACTTTAGAGCTCGCTAGCACAAGGGGGGGGGGGGAAGGGGGCAAGGTACAAAAGTTGGTGACGGCTGGGGGGTTCCTAGGCTCTTACCAAGTATTCTTTAGCTACGAGGTTTTTATTAGGCATATGTTAATTTATTTTAAACTTTTACAACATTTAGATCGTTTATAGCACTAAATTAGAGGTTTTTATAGGTTTTACGCATGGTTATGCTTAATATAAATTAGTTAAATTAGAGGAATTTTTATAGCTTAAACATCCGCCCGCTTCCGGAGTTCGGACCCCGGTTGAGTCACAGATCACCGTGTGTCCTCCTCGTTTTCTATGCCCCAGGTCGTGCTCCCCGATAGATCGTGCGACAAATCATGAGGCCCCAATTCCCCCGTCTGTGGCCGTCCGTCGGGCGGGCCAACGAACTAACGGTGGTTGAGGGGGAAAAGCCCCCGGGGGCAATGTGGATGTGTCAGCTGGTGCTCTCTCAGGTAGAGATCGGTGTCTTGATGAGGCCCATCACCACATTCCACACCCTTCAATTCGCCAGACGATCGCTTTAAAAAACTTAGTTTTTCCTTTTTTCGAGAGGGAAAATGATAAAGCAATTTTCATAGGAAGCTGTATTTTTTAGGCCTTCCATGAGGAGCTACGCTAGATTTTTGCTAAAAGTTCAGATATGGCTACTAAAGCCCTAAAAATTAATTTAACATTGTTTATACTAAAATGTAGCTATATTTAAAGTGGAAAAACCGTTTTTAAACAAATCAAAATTTGCGATTTTGTTCGAAAATCGGTTCTTTTTCTTCCTATTTTCCTTAGTAGTCCCCTTTTTCTAGTTTAAATAAAACATGTTTTTACTATCTCCAACCACGAAAACTTTGCAAATTTTGATTAGAAAATGCTACAAATATCGATTACCAAAATTTCGAATTTTGAACATTTTTCTAGGTTTTCTCAAGGTTTGCCGCTTTAAATGCGGTTATATGTTGCTAAAACACCGTTAAAATACCTAATATTGCGTTACTAGGACCTCTAGGAAAAAATTAGCCCCCACCCCCGATAAAGCGAAAGCTCCTTTTCCAGTTTCATTAGCGAATTCCGGGGGATCAACCCTCCTTTTCCGGGCTGGCTATTTCCTGCCCATTCTCGTGAATAATTCCACGTCTCCACCCCATGGCCCACCGGGGTCTCGAATTACCCACCAGGCGTTCCATAGAAGCGGTTGGATCTCCAGAAGAATAGAACGGGGAGCACGACGCGCCTTGGGGGCCCACGATGGCCCGCTAGGGGAGCAAAGGGAGGGCTTAGGTAAATGGGGGTTCCTTTTTTGGGCGGCTGGAGAACGAAGGGGGGAGGACGAGATTGGCCCTCGAGGGCCCTGGGGCATACACACACGGCAGCCCCCGCAGCATACACACAAACCTTAGGGCCCAAAGCTTGAACACGGCGCGGCAATTGGCCCCGACGACGAGTGGCCCGCGGTTTTTTAAGGAAGAGGAGAAGCTGGCGGAGAAGGTTTTTTAATAAGATTAAAAACTGGCGCGTTCTAAGTCTCTTAGTGTTTTTAAAGTCTATAGTAATGTAAGGGTATTGACAGTGTAGCGCCATTTTAATGATTATCGAAACTAACGTTTATAGAGGGGGTTTTTATCGTAAAGTCTATTAAAATTAAGGTTTAATTTTTTTTTTAATAAAAAATTTTTTTTCTCTTTTTGAAGAGGAGAAGCTGGGTGAGAAGTTATTTAAATATGAAAAATACCGTTTTTATGTAATTTAATCCATAGACGAATTTTTTAAAGATAAGACCAAACCAGTTTTTTTAATGTAATTTAATCCCTAGGAAACTATAGAAATTTCAAAAATAATAACTTCCAGTGGGAGTACGAGGCATTAAGGGCACGCCTTTATCCCATTCGCCCATAGCATTTTCCTCGAATTAGTAGAAAAGAATTTTTCGACGCAAGGCTGTCCTATTAATTAATTTCGCACACCATGAATCCCCAAATTCCTCCACGAGAATTCCCGCTTTGCAACAATGGCCTTTCAATGCCATTTTTCTCTTTTTTTTTTTTCCTCTCTCTCTCTCTCTCTCTCTCCGACTTCACACCCCCGGACGGCCCGACGTTTTTTGTTGAGCGAGAGCTGGGAGTGTGGCGAGGGCGGCGAAACGGCATAAATCATTTATCGCGCCACTCCTTTGTCGAATCGCCGGGGCTCTGGCTCGTGAAAAGGGCCCACCCACACGGCCACCACTACGCGGAGCTACGGATGACGGTTAAAGTTGTTAAGAAGCGTCTAACAAATTATAATAATCCGAGGAAAATCGGCAGGGCGGCCGGAAAAAACGTATGCCTCATAGTGCAGCGTTTACTTGTAATTTGGAAGTTTTATACCATATCTTGTCCTATTCGATATTCGCGCCATTTCAAAAACTAAGTCATTATTTTATTGGCCAGCCCCGTGAAGCTAACTATAAGCCGGAAGCCCGCCCTGTTCGGACCCTATTGGCGCTTTGTCTCCGGCTCGAATGTCAAATTCCTGCTCCGCTTTCGGACCGGGTCGAGCCCCCGGAAGAGCCCTAGGGGTTGTCGTGGCCAGGCGCCCCTCTCGTGCTCAAATTGCAGATTGACGAGGGGACGACGGGTTTTTTTTTTCAGGCTAGGCTAGCGTGTGGTAGGTCTGGTTTTTGTAGTCTATAGCCTAAAAATCGTCATTTTTCCGGGAAAATTAATAATTTTTTAGTGTTTTAAGGATTTTTAGGGGCAATCCTGTAGGTCAGAATTTTGGCCCTTTTCGTAATTTGAGCAGTCCTTAATCTTTGTCTATCTTCTTGTAGTCAAATATATAGAAATTAACCCCATTTGTCCGGGGGGGGTTCCAAGAATAGATTTTTTCTTGATTTTTTTCTGGATTTTTCTAGATTTAAGGCGAATATGTTTTAGCTTTTTTTGTAGCCTGTATCTTCCTTGAATCTTGTCTAATTTTGTAATGATCAAATTTACGCATAAATCGATTTTTTTGCTAAATTTTAATGCGCCGATTTTTGTGTGTTTTTGTGCTGCTTCTGGGGTCAGACATCCGGGTTAAGGGGGAGAAGAGGAGGGCTTGAAGTGGGGAGAGAAGAAGCCGAGGATATGCTGAAAATGGGGAACTCTGATGCCGAAAACGGCTGCCTGTCATCCGACGCCCCTGGGAGCGGCGGGCTGCGATTCTCTTTGCGGCGTAAAAAGTTTCGTGGTTGATAGCAATCGAGGAGCAGTTTGAGGATCATTAATGCACCAACTGGGTTTTTATGCTCCAATTGCCTTATTTTTTAGGTAGGCTATTCCGGTAAACAGACCAAATTTCGACATTGAAAATACCGACAGCCAAAATACCGACGGCCAGAATTGTCATTCGAAATGTCGACACACTCCCACTTCGAATCTTGAGCATTTGATTTAGCCTGTAAATTTCGGCTGTCGGCATTCAAAATTTCGGCATTTCGAGTAGAAATAATTTTTTCGATTTCCGGTCATAATCCCGACAGCTGAATCCCGATACTATTTTAGCTGTCCATATTTTGACTGTCGGCATTGCGACTGCGAATAACCTTTTTGGAATTCCAACCGTAATCCCGACAGCCGAAATCCCGATAGGCCAAAACCGTAAATTCTGGGTGTCGGTATTTTGGCGCTGTCCCTAGCAAGGAAAGTAGACTTTTAGCCATAATCCGGTCAGCCGAAATACCGACCGGGCAAAATCCCGACAGTATTTTACGTGTCGAAATTTTGAATTTTTTAGCTTGAATTTCAGTATTTTGGCGTTGCCGCCACTTCTTTTATTTTTTACGAACGCCCCAATCCACAACAAAGCTCAGCGGTGAAAAATAAGGCTACTACTCCTGGGTCTCAGCTGGAAAAGAGGAGGCGGAGGGGAGAAGCCGAGGAATTGCATTGTTGGCCTGTGAGGGCCATGGCCAAGGACCCAGGGCCCCCTTCTTCACAAAGAACACCCTCTCCTGGGGTTAAAAAGGCGAGACACCCCCATCTGTCAAGTGTTATGACAGGCTATAAAACCCCCAAGGGGAGGGGAGGGGGATTCCCCCGCTTCTCACAAATGGACATCACCCCCTCTCAAGCCGACTAAAGCTGAACTTATTTTTGGGCCGTGAAAAAGGCAGTGAAGGGGTTAGGGATCAACCCCCGCATTTGTCTAGCCTCAGCCTCCTCCGCCTCGTTCTCCTCGAATACCTTATAAATGACCAGGAATCCCAGGGCCTTTTTTTGTCTAAAGAAAATGGCTATGAAAGCGAAATCCCAGCTGATCTAGAGAAAAGCGGCAAATAACGCACAAAATCAGGGTCTCGATAGAAGCACTAGGTAGTTAAAGAGCGCTAGAATGGCTGGTTTGGCTCGTATTTTAGGCCTCTAACGTGCTTCAAAAATGCTTTGTGTCGGCATTTTCACTTTGATCCTCGACTGTCGGTATTTCAGCTGTCGGCATTGTGGCCGCCGCATTCCGGCTAAAAACCTGACATTTTGGCAAGCTTTTTAACTTAACGTGTCTTTTGGTGCTCTTTGAATGAATTTTTATGGCACTTACCATAACGAAAATGCCGACATTCAATAGCCCGGTATCCGAAATGTCGCCATCAACAAGGCGAAATTAGACATATCGATTCTGGGCCGTTCTGTGTCGGCATTTTAGCTGTTGCCTATTAATGCGTCGAAAAGTAGAATCTAGTTTCGAAAACTCCATTTTTTGAAGATTTCCAATTCGCCGACACCTTTCAAAATCAACACTAAATTTGCGAGAACGAGAGAAGAGCAAGAGCGAGAGAGAGCGAGAGAGAAACAAAGAAACTAAAAAACTTCCTTGTTTCCGCGAAAAGCCCTAGAAACCCCGATGCCCCATTCGAGGGTCACCAAGCGGAAAGCCCGCGAAACAAAGAGGGGAGCGCGACTGCGGGGAGCAGACCTTTTACGAGTAGCTGAACTGAACATTGTCATCTCTGAAAAATAGAAAAACACGCTATAGCTAACTAGCTCTTTTTTATTTTGGGCCCCAATTTTTGAGGGTACAGTAGTCCACTCTGCCGGGGCTTCATTTTTCTCTTAAAATTGGGCCAATCAACTGGCAAGGGGGAACCCAGTATACAAATTGAATTGACGCGTCTTTATCTCGGGATTGAGGGGGAAGAGAACACAAGGGGTTGGAGAAAGGAGAAGCTCGCCGGAAATAGAATGAGCAAGAGATAAAAAATAAATAAAGGATGAAATAAATGAGCTTTAAAAGCAATAAAAGACCAATTTTCAGGACTGCCAGAAGATTTGCGGGAAAGTGATCGATCATAAGCTTCTATCGTCGGATGAGATTCAGAAAAGGTAATTTTACAAACTATATATTAAAAGGTATCGTGCTACATAAATTCAACTTATACCTAGATTAACGCCCTTTCCAGATATGAAGCCTCCGTACGCGCGTGGGATGAATATTGCAGCCCGGAACCGTACGACTTCCTCGCCAGCCCAACCCCAGCCGCCACCTATGAACTCCAGTCCGGCTATGACATTGCCGCCGCCGTACAGCGCCAACGAAACTTCAACTATCAAGTGCGAATCGCTAAAAAGAGCATCAACTCTTTAGCAAGCTAACCCCCAAAAAGCAAAAAATCTGGGCTGAGCCGGGGATTGAACCCGGGACCTCTCGCACCCTAAGCGAGAATCATACCACTAGACCACTCAGCCATGATGGAAACAAGCTGCTGTGGGCTATAGAAAGCTAGGGGAGCCTATCCGCGAAAAAGCAAAACATTGGGCTCAGCCGGGGATTGAACCCGGGACCTCTCGCACCCAAAGCGAGAATCATACCACTAGACCACTAAGCCACGGGAGGGGGCGCGCCAGGAGGGGCTGATGAGGGGACAGCTGCTGCGAAGGGGAGGGAAGGGGATGGACTGGAAGTTTGACGAGCAGACGAAGAAGGCGCAGGGATCCCGAAAAATCAATCATTCGTTTCGGGGAGGGGATAATCGCTTGTTTTGACAAGATATTCGATCGTGATTTGAAAAGGAGAAGCTTGAAAGTTAAAAGAATCAACCTCTCATCTAAAATACATAAACAGCGCGAAGATCCCCAGGATTTTCGGCATTTTAGCCATTTTTCGGAGATTTTTTAAACACTATTCGATAGAGCCTCAAAAAGGGTACTACGAATTTTAATAGTCTCGCTTAAAATAATATTGTATATACATTAGATCGCAAAACAAACAAAAAACTTTGAAAATCGAGTGAATAAGCTAGTTTTTCGCTTTTTTCGCTATTATTTAGATTTTCCCGCACCGTCATTCATGCGTTAGAGCATCGAAAAATATATTTCTAGATTTAATTTTGGCTAAAAATGATGTGGTATAATATATTTATAGCACAAACAAAGCCAACCGTCGAAAATAGCTTGAATAAGCTAGCTTTTTCGCTATTTTGTCGATATTTAGTCGACGCCATTCGATAGACAGTCAAAAACAAAAATAGAAATTAGTTACCTCCTGAAGCTAACATGAAACAATTATAAAAGTGTTTTTCACTGTATTTTTGAAGTATAGGCAAATTTTAGGTCTCACTACCACACTATACGTCGACCAAATTTCTTTCCGAAGCCGTCCGTCGTTATATTCAGGTTTGTCAGTTTATTCTAACTAAAAAAAAAAAAAAAAAAAAAAAAAAAAAAAAAAAAAAAAAAAAAAAAAAAAAAAAAAAAAAAAAAAAAAAAAAAAAAAAAAAAAAAAAAAAAAAAAAAAAAAAAAAAAAAAAAAAAAAAAAATATTGCCTTTTTTTACAGTTCCTACTCCTCAAGCAGAGCTACCACGATCAATTCCTGACACCGTGCTACGATTTCGACATCATCTGGCACACGCATCAGGTCCACCCGCTCAATTATGAGCGGGATTGTATCGCAATCTTTGGGAGCCTTTTGAAGCATGATGATGGGGTAAGGAATATTTTGTTATGTCAAAAATACGTAAATTATTTAGGTAAACGACCGCTCGAAGGGAAGCAAACTGCTAAAGGGCGAGGCGGTGACGAAAAAGTTGTGGACCACACATTTCGATGAAGCCTTTTGGCGACGAGGCTGTATGTATCGGTCAGTGCCACTTTTTATACAAATTAATTTGTTTTAGCGGTCACAACGCGCCGGCTTTTCTTGGCTTCGAATCGCAGGATTTGTCGAATATCGCCTATGGAGATTTACACGTCCCTTCCATTGCGCTAAAAGTAAGTAATTAGGTGTTTTTATTAGCCAAAAGAGTGCGATGATCATTTAGCAATGAAAAAAGGAATAGAAGAGCTTTTTTTATTCTAGTATGAATCGAATTTTCCAGGATATCCCCGTGCAGCGCGAGCAACTGCGGCTAAAACTCTGCTACGGCAACAAGAAGGTGACAACATTCAACGCTGATCTCTCCCAAAAACAAGTAAACATTAATTATGGTCTTTGTAAACCCAATTCAGGTAACAAAATCGGGCTTTTCCCTGGTTTGGCAGCCAACCGACAGCTCTTCCTCGGCTTCTATCGTCAAGTTTCCGTTTGAGAGGAAATGTTCGAAGGATCTCTTCGTTGAGCTCGAGGTAGTTTTTTATTTTACAAAATGGTCTGTGTAGTATAAAATCGACCCTTTGTGATTTAACGATTAGTGCAAAAACTCGAAAAAAGAGGTCAAATCGGTAGAAAACTATAATTTCATTATTTTTTGTTTTAGCTGTTCGACAAAATGTTCCTGCAGAAGAAAGACCTGGTCCGGTTGATTGGGCGCGTCTCGCTAGATGATGTAAGATTTGTTGACATTTTTTATTTATATACTTTCCATTTTTTTAGCTCCTCCCCCAACAAACAGCAAATCGGCGCACAACGTGGCGGATGTCCCCTTGCAGACAAAAGACTACGATCCAGAGTTGAATGCTCGTGTCACCGTCACGACTAGGTGGCTTTAAATTGAAAATTATTATGGTTTTGCTTATTTTTAGCGTCACGCTCAACCGAGAGCTTCAACTATTGGCCGGCGATTTTCAAGAAACCGCCCTGCAAGTCGATACTCATTTGTGGTAAGTGAATCCTGACGCAGCATAACCATATTTTTTAGGTTCCTCTGTCAGTGCGCTTCATTGAATCGGCAAGCCATGCAACCTGGCGTCACTGTCCATCTAGCAACACACACGTACGCTAAATTTGTAGATTATTTTGTAATGTTAGCGTTAAAGTTTATCAAAAGTTATGTCTTGTGTAATTCTTTACTACAATTTATTATAAGACTTAATTTCTTTTTAAAAACATCTATCTCTTTTTTAGAGTAATGGATACGCGGGATGGAACCAAATTCACCGTACAAGTCGTCCATTCCGCCCCGCTACTACTGTCAATGATCCTGGTGTATGGCCGAGAGCAACGGCTGCTTTCTATGGCTCACCTCATTGGAGCGGATAGTTTGCCCAGTCGCGAGCAGCTTGATAATAACTTGGTTCGATCGAAATTACCAGAATAATGAATAAGTATTTTTAGCAATTCCTACCTCACCTGTCGTCACCAGAAGAGCGCGCCTTTGTCATTGTCAATCGCGAGGGAGATTATGCGATTGTGAAAGGAAGATGGACAGGATTTGCGAGGAAACAGGTAATCTAGAAATTTCGGATTTATTTTTAATCAGCGAAAACTTTAAAAATAGTCATTTACAGGATTAAAAGTTAATGATTTAGTGATAGAGTAGGAAAGTAGAATAAAAAGTAAAAATAGAAAACATAAAGAACTACTACTACGTTTTTACCTTTTATAACTAAAAGTCTTGGTTAAAGTAACGTAATAAAGTGTTATGAAAGGTAAGAACGTAACGTAAAAATGTAAAAGTAATGTATTTTTCGTAATAAAGATAAAAATACTAAAGTTTTAGTTAAATTCAGTAATACAGTAACAAGAATTATTTATCGTTCCAGGAAACACCAAACGTCACCGTAAAAGGCCAAAAATCGAAGCCCGGAAACCCGGGCCGCTTGCTTGTCGACGCGTTCAATTTGCTGAAAAACACCGTGCAAAAGCTGGAAGTTCCAACGGCTGAGGGGAGCACGCTTTTTGTCATTGGAGGTTGGTTTAATAAAAAAATATAGATGGAACAAAAATAATGGCTAGTTTCTTGGTAACAAAATAACCCATTTAAAAAGGATAAAATGTATATAAATGCTAGAAAACACAATTTTCTAGACGCGCAAGCTCGCCTTCCCGGCAAGCGAATCGAGGTCCGCTCGACAGCCACCGCCGAGCACATCGCCGCCGTGTTTTGCGTGTCGACCCTTTTCGTGCTGTGCAACCCGGATAAAGTAAGAATATCGAAATCAATTTATACGAAAATAAAATTAATTTTATGCATAAAAATACGTATTTGTTCTTCAATTAATCCCTTTAAGGTGCGCGCCCGGACCGAAGCAACAACCGTCGGCCACCAAGCCCATAAATGGCCCCTAACCCTGGCGTGTGGATATGGCAAACAACTGCCATCCAACCGTATCATTGCCGCCGGTGACTACGGCGGTATCGAGGTAAGTACTGAACTAGAATCCCCAAAAAGCAAAAAATCTGGGCTGAGCCGGGGATTGAACCCGGGACCTCTCGCACCCTAAGCGAGAATCATACCACTAGACCACTCAGCCATGGGGGAAGGGGATGGGTGAGGGGTAGATATCGTTGTCTTTCCGCTCCATCTTGGTGTGCAGCCGGTTTGGTTGCCCTGGGGGTATTTGAGGGGAGCAGGAGGATGGGTGAGAGGGGGAGGTCGAGCTCAAGGAGAAACAGGGAGAGAGATAACGAGAGAGCGGGAGAGAGATAAGCAAAAATCGACAATATCATTTTATTGATCTTCAGATGGCGCCGTTAATGGCAACACTATGTGGAGGAGGCGGAGGTGGATGCGACGGTGGTGCTTGTGGAGCGTGCGGTGCCTGCGGTAAGTTCTGCGTTCAACATACGCATCAAAAAGGTAGATTCAGGCATATTAAGGTGAAAATATACCAGCAATTTCCACCACAAAAATAGTCAATCACTACAAAAGCGGAAACTGCCACCAAAACCCGTTTTTCCTTTTGTTTTTAGGATCAAAATTTTCTAAAACTTTTTTATAAGCCCAAGCGTATAAAAACAAATTTGTTGTTTAAAAAAATCCAGATTTTTCGACTAAAAATCGCCGGTTTTTGACGCAAATTTCGCTTTTTTCTAAGTTTTCGGATCGCTTTTCTAGTTGAAATTAGGTATATTCTACTAAAAACACTTAAAATAGCTGCGATTAAGTTATCAGAAAAAATCTGTAGAAGGCAGGAAAAGGAAAAAACCAAAAAAACACAAAATTCGAAAAAATTCGATTTTTTCTCTACAAATATAGACTTCTACAAAAATTTCGCTTTGCCCCCCCCCCCGCTAATGCAAAAGCACCACCTAAATTTTTTTCCTTCAGGCGCTTGCGGTGCATGCGGAGGCTGCGGAGGCTGTGGCGGATGCGGTGGATGCGGAGGTTGCGGATGATCGCGAAAAAAGCCATACCCTTTCGCCCTTTCACGAAACTGGTTCTGTGATCGCGTGCATTTCCCTTTAATACCCACTTTAAAAATTCTCTTCTAAATCCCATTTTTTATTTTTCCCCTGGGTGCTAAACGAACCAAAAAAAAGACAAAACCCCCGTTCTCCCTTGTATTATTCCCACCGAGGCAGCTTGCCAGTCTTGTTATCCGCTTTCTAGTTATGTGTGTGTATGATATTTCATGAATAAAATTATCTAATAGAAATAGGAACAACGAGAGAGAGAGAGAGAGAGAGAGAGAGAGATAGTCGGGGAGAGAGAAAGAACGCGAGAGAGAGCGAGAGAGAGACAGGTAGAGTCATAGATAAAGAGAGAGAGAGAGAGCGAGAGAGCGAGAGATAGAGATAGAGAGAGAGAGAGCGAGAGGAGATAGAGGTATCAGCGATTTTATCTACATAAAAATGACCCCTTTTTCAGGAACTTCCGGTTTTCTTTCTGCAACAAACTTGACAACCCCTGGTATTTCATAAAAAGCCCTTCTAGAGTTATCTAAAGCATCATCCCATTTTTTTGATGTCCGACGGGGCCGATGAACTTGAATGAATTCCTTTTACTTTCTTCGTCCCCTTCTTCCGGCCCAAAAAGAGAGGAATGAAATTGATTGATGGCGATTCTTGGAGAAGATTGGCAGAGAGAGAGCGCGCGGAGAGAGAGAGAGAGAGAGAGAGAGAGAGGGTATTGGATCGGATTGTCGAACAAGAAGATAAGATCTTCCCAATCGAACGCCCATATATTTCATTGCAGGCAGAGCAGAGAGCGAAGTATCCATCTACACTTTCGGCTACGAACTCGCACTTTTTCCTGTTGGGCATACAGTATTTTGGGTGTAAAATCGGTTTTTGGTGTTGATAACTTCTTTATTTTTCTATAACATTTCTATTGCAGTGAGTTCTAAAGGTATTTTTAATTTACGTTAGCTATGTTTTACTTTTCCTAAGTGCATAAACGCTAAAAATTTTTTATTGAAAATTACAGAAGAACAAAACAACATTTTTCGAACAAAATTTCATTTTTTAATAATTTTTGAAATTTTGAGATAGTTTTCATTTGAAATAAATTAATCTTTAGAAAAAAACGCTTAAAACAATTACTATTACCTCACTAGGCATTTCTGGATTTATTTAATTATATAGGCTTTAGCTTCTTCCCCCCGATAATGCCAAAGAACCGAAAAATTCCTCTAAAAGCATATTTCAATTAGCATTATATTAGTACAGATTTTCAAGTAATCGCCACTTTAAAGCTTTATCAGGGATGACCTACCCGGCTGGGGAGGGCCTGTAAAGTGTAACCGTTCGTACAGCCGTAAAACTGTCTGGAGGAATGTTCTAGTCTATCTATCCCTTCCTCTCTCTCTCTCACTCGCTCTCTCTCTTCTCTCGCGCTCCGTGTTTTCCGATGCCTTTTTTATTTATGACCCCAATCGGCTGCTGGGTGTTATCGAATCGGGCCAGGTGACTGACTGACTGACTGCTGGTTATCCAGTTCAGTCCGTTCCATTCCCACGTAACGGTCAGATCTCTTAAATTTGTACATAAATACAATTCAACATTTTACATTATTAGTTTTAGAGCTAAATTTCACGTCTTAAGGTACGAATTCAAAAAATTAGCGAGCCTTGACGTCAGAAAAAGTTTTTCTTACGGTATAACTTCTATTTTTGGCCCAAATACATCATTTTTCAATTGGATCGTACAATCGTTTTAATTTTAAACATTATGTTTAGTTTCCACGTTTTATTTAACGTCGTCAACGGCGTGACGTTTTGCGCACGTTTTTTCTTACGTCTATAACTTTCGGTTAATACCTAAAATTGTCATTTTTTTAGGAAAATGGAGCAACAAACAAAAACCCAGCCAACCCAACCAATGGCCATCCCTCAAACTTCGGAGAAACCGACGGAAAAGCCCACGTCGACCTGCTCGCTGTTGGCCGACCCAGAGACACGGAAACGCATTGAAGAGGTAGGGAATTTGGCACTGGGCTGTTAGCGGGGGGGGGGTAAATTTGGCCTATCGCCCCGTAAAGTCCCATTCACAATGAAATCTACACCCTTATACCGAGTTTTTAAACACAAAATTCGTAAAAATGATTAAAATTCTCGTAAAATGTGGATTTTTGGTCAAAAATACAGGCAAATATTAAAAATTCTCTAGAAATATTTTTATGATTTCTTAATCATCAAGATCTGCTAAACGCATGAAAACACTACAAATTAAAATTATGTACTAAAAACGCTGTATTAAGGTGTTTCTCTCACACGCCCAGCTGACGCCACCCGACGAGTTTGGCGTTCGCTACGTCTACGTCGGGGCCCATGATTAAGGTAAGCTCAAAAAAAAAAGATTAAAAACCTATAGAAAGCAATAAAAAACATAGTAAACAATTCATCTGTGTTTTTGACCTAAATGGTACAGTAAAAGTACGGTTAAATTATCCCTTTCAGGCCTACAAACTTCAAAACATCGCCCAACAAATGTATTTATTTCCACATAAAAACCGTAAAGCGAACGAGAGATCCACGTTTCGAACGAATAAATGGTGCGATTTTGGTTTTCGTAACTTAACAAAATTGATGGATAATAATAACAAAAGTCCCCCACCCCCGATAATGCATAAGCGCCGAGTTCAAGAATTGTTATGGAAAAGTTTCAACAACTTGCTGCCAGTTTTCAGCTTCGAAATTGAGGGACTTTTGTGAAGTGGGGTGGCGGATGGGGCCGGTGGAGTTTTCTGCTTTGACGGAGGTGTCTTCCTATTCAGATGTGACGATCGGGAGGAGGAGCGGAAGGAGAACCCCGATTTTCCTGTAATGACTTGGATCATATGGCGTGAATAGTAGTTACGTGTACTATTCGTAATCTCCGAATCTGACGAGCACATCCGGGGGGATGGCGAGCGGGCGCCGGTGAGGATGTGGGTGAACGTTTCGTGGAATAGCTGCGCTAACGGCCGCGGATCCTGAACGGGAGATAAAAAGTTTTTCGTAACGTTTTTAATAAGATCCGGCTAATTTCAAGTGGAAAGGCTGCTTGGGAAACCTATAGCAAATGTCTAACAATTTGAATTTTGGTAAAAATCGGGATTGTTTGGTCCAAAAATCCTTATTTTAACTTTTTTTCAATAACAATTCGTTGGTAACTTCAGATAAGACTAAATTTAATAACAAGTGTTTAATAAGGTTTTTAATAGAATTTAACTATATTCAAAAACGAAAAACTATCTAAAGAACTTGAAAACTTTGAACTTCGTCGAAACAATATCTTTTTATATTTAGTATTTGTAAAATCCAAATATCTAAATATTTCTAAGAATAAACTCTAAATTAAAAACATTATACTCACTCCAGTGGCATTTGTCTCCGCAAAAGATGCTCCAAACTTGGTTGCCGTTCGCGAAGCTTCGGCTTCACTAACTTGTCTAAACCGTTAAAAACGCTTTAGGAAACTCCAGTTTCCATAAAAAAGAAATTCTTTTAAGTTTTGACATACCTATACCGCTCCAAATCACTTTTATTCCCAAGAAGAATGGTTTTGTGCTCGCGCGCACATAGAAGATGCTCATGACGGGCGATTTTTTCTAACAGGCCCTCGGCGTACCTTAAAATGGGGATTTCACGCTATTCCTATACAAAAATGGGTACCAAAAGAAACCAACTGTAATGATAATTGACTCGTCACATCGTATACCACGACATAAACGTCAGCCCAGGCAATCCAGCGCATATCGTCACTAAAAACCGGTTCGGAAATTTGTAAATCTCTTACCGATTCGCATCGTCCACCGTATCCATTAGCCATACCATTAGTGGTTGTTGGGCCACCATGTCTTGTTTGCAGTAAGTATCTTCTGGAGAAATAATTTAATTTGGAAAAGATATCAACATTTTACCTAGTGACTGGTCGTACTCGCCGATGAAGCGCTTTGTGATGTACTTGACGGTTAGGGCTAAAAGTATCAGGTTATCGATCAGGCTTTTTTCTGAAGGTTTCCATACGATAAAACTCGAAAATGTACCCGATTTCCCGCTGCCATTCATCCCCACCAATGCCACATGCATCTCTCGAATTGGCGTTTGGGCGTTGCGCATTTCCGCAGCTATAAAGTTTATGAAAAAAAATAATAGTAATTGCTCGGAACTTAAAAAAAGAACGCTAATCAAAATTTTTACAAGACCCTTTGCGCTAATTTCCAGCACAAACGGAACTTCCTGGCCATCAAAACAAATCGATAGCGGCAGCGCGATCAGGGCCAACCTGGGGGCCAAGGGCAGCTGACCGCCCCGGGGAAATTACACACCCAGTCAACGCTCAGGAGCATAGTAAGGAAATATGGCTTATCCTTGCCTTTAGAACAACGATGTCTATAATTCAGATTTTCCCACTCCGCTTCATACCGCACACCGCAAGAAAACACAAAACATAAAATCGATTTATTCATTCGTGACGTCGTGGTTAAATGGTGGTCGAGGAATGGCGGCCGAAGGCGGGCTTATTCACATCTTCATTGACATGCGGGCTGGTTACCAGGAAGGGCATTAATGGAGGGCCGTCGTATCGGCTTGTATCTAAAAACGCAAATTAATTAAAAAAAATTTGAATTTCCACGGACCTATGGGCGATAGGTGAAGGGGATGACGCGACGACGGACGAGACTGCTCGGGTCGGGTTTCCAATCGACCTGTCCATCGGCATCATCTGCCATAGCGGTCACCCATTCCAGGTGAATCTCCCCGTGCATCTCATCCTAAAAAGGTATATATTAACAATCAAGGTATTTTGATTACCTCGCTCGATCCCTCCGGGGCGACAAGCGTGAAAATGTTCGATTGGCCGGGGTGGAGAAGGGCAGACAACGCCGACAGACTCGTCAGGTTCACCGGATCGATGCGCACTATCACCGAGCAGTTCTCATTTGTGCCCAGCACGACACAGAGATCAGCCACCGATACCGTGGTGAAGATGAGACGGTCCGGGTGGAAGGTGAGAGCCGGGGGATTGTTCGCTGAAAGAGAGAAGTGAATAACGCTGCGGAATTTCCTACCAGAAGCATCGTAACGGGCCGGGGAAGCTGCACCGGCTTTCCAGATCAACCTGCCGTCGAGAACGATTTGGGTGGGCTCGATCGACGGCTCGGCGAGGCCGGTGTTGTAGCGAAGCGCGAATTTTGTGGTCTACAAGGGAATGTCGTTGAAAAATATAATAAAACGGACCATTTCAAACGTTTGCGGCGGGAAAGCGCCGGCATTGTGGGTCGATTTCGGCTTCTGAAGAAGATGTTGTAAGCTATTTTTCGGTACCGGTGAAGTGGTGCTGGAGCGCGAACGACGACGGCGAGCCGGAGTAGGGGCGCGAGAGCGACGCGGCGGAGGCGAGATCGACAAACGAGACATCGTAGAATTGATGCGCTCAGCGGGCGTCTCCGGGGCGAAACGCACGCCGGTGCTGTGGCGCTAAAATGTGTATTTATATTGAGCATTGTTATAGAACAATTTAAATAAGCTAGTTAAATTACTATCTTGGATCCAAAGCTAATCACAAGGTTTTTCTATTGCCAAAGCAATTTAAAGGGATACCGACGGCATAGCCAACCGGTTACGCGCCGGAAAGAAAATATCTCTGCGCCTCTCGCCAGGGCGCGTTCTTTGCGCTGTTGGCTACTTGCCAATTTGTTGATGGGGGGATCGACACATGCCGTCGGTAGCCTTTTAAAATTAAAAACCTTCATTTTCATCGCCGGCGAATGGCTGTCAGAACGGGTGCGATGAAGAGACCACTTCGAATCAGTAGGATCCGCATCCGGCCAGGCAGTGTCTTCTGGCATCAAGATCGTCGAGCCCTGGCACTAAATTCCAACCGTATATCCCCAATGATAAAACAAAACCTCGAGCTCGGGCTGCAGCTGGCTGCGCGGGGTCGAAGTGCGAGGGCGCGTGAACAGCTCGGACTCGATGGAAGTCGTGCGATCGAGGAGGACCATTTCGTTGCGCGCGCGCGGGGAGCGGCTCGCTCGCCTCGGGGCGGCGCGATAATCGTTTGCCTTTTCTTAATGTAAAGAAACAATTTAGATAGAAATACCTCCGAATAACGCTGGGGCGACGGAGAGCCACGGGCTTTTGAGGTGCGCTTTTCAAACCAAGGCGTCCCACCGGCCGGCCCGATGACTGGCGATTTCCGCTGCAGGGTGGGCGTATGTTCCTGAAATTAAAACAGGATAAATTTGTGGGGTTGATACCTACCGCCTGAGGGCTGCGGACGAGAAGCTGGTGCGGTTGGATGACTCTCTTGGGGGTATGGCCAGGCCATGGCGTATCCTCAGCCATCGCTTCCGTGCCCTCCAGCTCGGGCTGCAGCTGACTGCGCGGCGCCGATCTCATCGGGGAGCCGGCTTCATACTGCTGATTACGCGAATTCTGCAAAAAGAAATAAGCTAAGGCAGAAGCTCTAACCGAATGGCTTCTGGAGCGCGAACGCCGAGGCGATCGATGACGAGGCCGCATCGCGGGCGGATGATACTAGAAAGAATTTTTTGCCGAGATTGGCGGTTCAACCCAAAAACCGGAAATTGAAATTTCCGGATGCTGATGTTGTATTATTATAATCTGTGTGGTATCGTTCTTCTTCACCCTCTGTTTGCCGGAGTAGCCGCAGTCGCGGAAAAAAGCATAAAAATTTTTTATTCGCACGAGCTTCTCGGAGGGATATGCCATATGAAAAACCAAGGATAAGGGGCAGGGCGCTGGGCAGGGCAGGCGGCGAGTAGAGCTGAAGTAACATCCCGAGTGTCGTTTTTCGTTTTCGATTCGACGTGGACGTCCGTTAATTGGGTGATGCGTTAAAGAGAGGCCCGGTTCGTGCGCTCGAGTCTGAAAAAAAAGATTTATAACTGACACAGTCCGCCGCATACCTATGTGGTATAGACGAACGGCACGGAGCGACGGGACACGATACCATCCTGGCCAGCGATCCATTCGACACGAGTGCGCGATTCGACCTGGCCAGCATGACCATCAACCATAGCCACCCATTCGACTTGCACCTGACCCTTCACAGCATCCCCCTAAAACAGTCATAATGCTATCAGAGTTTGTAGATTACCTTAACGGCGCCTTCAGGAACGGCAAGCTGGAAGGTGAACGACTGGCCGGGGCGGATGAGAGTCGTCGCAGGGGAGAGGCTCACAAGATACTCCGGGACGATGCGCACCAACACCGAGCGTTTCTCGGCTTCTTCCAGCTTCACGATGATTTCGGCCTTCGGCGCGGCTGTGGTGAGGGCGAGCCGTTCCGGAAGGACGTTGAGGGCAGGGGGCGCCTCGTTGGC